AACCAATTAATGAGGAGTGACACCAGGCCACCTGACCACCAATTGGACCATTAGGGAAGTTTACTTTATTTTAAACCATAAAGAGAAACATTTATTCCCTCAAAAATAGTAACCATATGATTTATTTGGTAAGGGTTGTTGATATAGGTTTATTAAGAATAATAACACACAACAGTGTAAAATGTTTGCTCCATGCTGGCCACTATTGTGTTTTACATATGTTAATTCATTTCATCTTTCCAACAGCCTTATGAGGAAGGTTCTGTTTCTCCCCAGTTTACAGATAAGGAAAAAGAAGCATGAGAGGTTAAATTAATTGGCCTGCCAAGATTACACTTATAACTCAATAAGTGATAGAGCTAAGATTCAAGGTCAACAGTCTGGCCTGGAGTCCTCAGCCTTCATCACTCTCTTTCATTGGTTGCTTTAGCAGTGAAGTTGCCCTTTATTTTCCTTTGAGTATTTTTGCTAATTATAAGAGCAAATTGTTTCAAGCAAGTGGGGGTGCCTAAGTTCTTACACTCCTGGCCCAAACATCTGCATTCCCCACAGCTATGTCAAATGAGACTTTAGCAATCAGTTTTACGGATGTTCAGGCTCATTTTTAGAACAATAGCTACAAAATAAAAGTTTAGCAACACTTTGATGCTTTTTCAAAAGTTCTTAACCACTACTAAATAGGTTCGAGAATATTCTCTCACCCAATGCACAGTCACTGATCAGATGAATCCTCTGTAATTCACCCATCTCTTACATTGGTGACCAGGGCACCTTCCTCAGGTGTGCCTGTGTTGGCCCTGGGCCTGCTGCACATCTGCCCTCTCTCTTCCTCAGCTGCCAGTGTCTTTATAGCCATTCAACAATAAAGTGTTTTCAATTAGCCCAAGGAGAAATCCGGGTTCATGTTCTGCTCTCAGTTCCCACCTGCACAAGCACATTAGAATCTAAAAAGAACACCAGTAAAATTAAACTGCTGCAAGAAGTTGCTGGCTCAAGTGGAATCTATGGGCTCCTTTTTGAAATCAGGATAATTTTTCCCTGTTGCTTTGCCTTGGTAAGATTCCCTCCCATTCTGATAAGTGCCTTAGCATCTTTTATGAACTGAGATGTTAATTCTCTTTTCTTGAGCAAATAAGACTCTATGTAGCTTGCTTCTGCTAGGAAGCTGGGAGTTACAAAACTTCTATCAACAGCTGAATCTGTTTGCTAATAAACAAGTTGGCTATCTTTCAAAACATAGCATCAATTTTTAAAAAAGATCTTTAAACAGAAAACATATTTTAAAACATATAAATCTCCCTCAGGGTTATTTTACTTTTTAAACCAAACAAGGAAAGGGGGGTCATTCCATTCTCAGGAGCTTCTTTCTGCCTGTTCACAAGTGACAAAATGGTGTGGGGGAGGCGACTGCACCTTTGGTCTCCATTCAGCCTGGGTTTGAATCTTGACTCCACCATTACCATTAATTTTGCCTCTGAGCCTCTACTTCCTCACCTATAAAAGGGATGTTATAATGCTCTGATTATTTGTGAGCAAAGAGGCCAGTTTTAGTTAACTGGAGTAGAAATGATGGCAACAACTTGATTGTAAGATTTCAGTACACTCTGCTCTTTCTAGCCCATAATTTGGAAAGAGAGCAAATGGTAAGTAATAGATAATAATGAGCCTATGGGGCAGCCAACAGAATGTTAGTGGTTGTGGGTATAGGGGAAAAGCTAATGCATTAGAATTAAATGACTTTTAATCTCACTTTACTACACGTTAGCTGAGTTACCCTGGGCAAGTTATTTCATTTCTCTGAGCATTAATTTCCTCTTTTGCAGAATGGAAACAATATCAGCCTTATTATATTTCAGAGCTGTTGTGAGCATCAGAGTAAATAAGGAAGTGTCTTTTATAAACCAGAGAGTGTGGAGTGGCTGCTGGAGGCCCTGGGGGATGAGTCCTTATTGATGAGCAGTGAAAACACTGAGTGGAGGGGCTCTGGGCCCCACCTCAGGTACCACCTGGGGCAAATGCCTAGGTTTGTAAGATGTATCTTTGAATGCATCTAAGATGAGGTAGATAACATACAGTGTTGATGCAAACTAGGAGATGAGATACTTTTCTGGGAGAAAAGTTTTCATAAGTTTCCTTAACAGTGAGTTATACCTGGTTAAGAAATTTTACTTAAACATGCAACTGAAGAAAGGTGCAAGTTAAGAATTTCACTGGAAACAATGAAAGAACTAATGGAGTAAGAAAGGAAGTAGAGGAATGGAGTTTATAATTTGAAGCAGGAGTTCCACTTACCATTATTAAACCTAATAATTCAAGGTTTTGCATTAGGGGAAGAGTAACTATCCATTGTGCTACATGGAAAACATCCAAGCGTAGATTTTCAGAGTCTAGGGTTCATCTGGCCCAGCTTTGACTCTGTTGTGTTGAAGGAGGAATCTCACTATCTTTTCCATGTGTGCAAAAGATCGGGAATCTTTTTAAATGGATCTCTGTTCTTTAAAAAAGGTCTGTGATGACAAATGTGTGCATGGGGTCTGGTTAAGGGGGAATCCCTTTGAAATGCTCCTTTCTCATTTCTCTCCACAGCCCAAAGATAGTTACTGGCCACAGTTGGGTATGAAAACTCTTCAGCCTTGCCATGTTCTCCCACCCCCTGAGAGTCATGTTCTGTTTGAAAAGAACTGAGTAAATGAAGGCTGTTTTTTCACTTGGAATAAGAATATCCATCTAAAGCAGTAATGGTTCTGTGAGAGTAACAGGATCCATATGTGAACTGGCTGCCAATGCTCAGCACTTGAGCCTATCTATGAACTTTGCTGGCAGAAACATGCCTCTAATTCTCAAAGAACACCCACCCCCAGTGAACCCTAGAAAGGACCATCACTTAGGTGACAGATGGCCTGGGCACAGCTACTAGGCTTCATGGGCCTCTGCACCTTGAAATGTGAGCCACAGAAGGGGTAGAACAGGTCCTGATTGGCCTTAAGATGAATGGCACTGTGCTGTAGCTTGCCCTGTGAGACCCTGGGCTCCCTAAAATACGATGGGCCCTATCAGTTCTGAGCTCACGCTGGCTTATTAGGAAATGGTGAGCTTGAGGGCCACTTGATCCTTTGGTTGGCCAGATTATTTGTTAGCCCAAATGGAGACATATTATACTATATTTGCAGAAGCGGCATTGCATAATGGGAAGAACTTAGTTGAAAGCCAGGTGGGCTGGGCTCTGAGGCCACCTTGGCCCTAACTAGAAGTGACCCTAAGGAAGTCACTTTACCTCAGTTTTCTCATCTGGAAAATGAGGAGGTGGTTCAAGATGATGGTTGAGATGCCTTCCAGCCCCATCAGTAGAGAACTGAGTGGCACCTAACTGCATCAGGGGACAAGTAATGGGAGAAGCAGCCCCAGCCAGTCATACTTCAGCCATGGATGCAGTGGCCCTCATCTGACACTGTCTTTTGTTGCTCTCAGAAAGAATTTGGTCCTGAGCCCCAAATGAGTAATAAGCAGCTAACCAAGTGAGGGAGAGACCAGTTTCCCCTTGACTACTATAATGTTTCTCCCAAACCAGTGTTTGGAGGTCTCTGGGTTCCCGTCTCTTATTCTCACCGTGGAGTGCTCAGCATCCTTTTCCTGCCTGGACCTTGTGCCTGATTCCTCCCCCTTATTCTGTCTCCTTCCCTCTTTGATTCCTGTCTCCCCCAAGCTATCTCTTTCCCTCTCCCACCTCTGCTTGGGTTTTTCCATGGTCTGCTTTGTCTGTTGATAGGGTGGTTAGGAAGGCTATAGCCCCAATAGCTGTGGTGCCCCATGACCCCCCTTCATAAGCCCCACTCAGGCTTTTTGATCCATCTGTTCTGCTGTGCACAACTGTTGCCCCTTCATCAAAGGAGCGCAGACTGAGACCTGAGCAGCTCTGCCTACAAGTCAGTCACCATGGCAACTGGCATTCTCTCTGTTCTGCTGGGAAGAGAAAATGGCTGTTTCAAAGCAGGGCTCGCTGAGTCTATATTACCCGGCCTGTTTTGTCCAGGACCCTCTTTCCTGTCAGCTTTACAAAGCTACATGCATTGAACCAAACGTCTGTTAGCCTTTAGCTCTCAGATTTACTTTACCTAAGAGGACAAGAGACCAAATGAAGTTGAATCCAAATGAATGAAAGCATATTTTTTTCTGCCCTAAAATTCTATTTTTCTAAGGAATGGTTATGTGTTCTGAGCAGATAAACAAGGAATTGAATGAACACAGAAATCTGTGAGATCTGATGCACTGTATTTTGTCTTATTGGCAGAGTGGAATGACAGAGCATGTGGATATTCAAATACAAGTTCAGTGCAAGTAGCCAAGGGGCAGGGAATTTCCACAGGGCATGGACTGCAGCATTCCAGAGGGTGTTTGACTAATTGGGTTGATGATATTCAGTGCTGGCTCCTGCTATGGAAAGAGATGTGTTGCTCCTCTAGTCATGAGGGAAGGTGAACGCATGGCATCCCTTGAGTCCAAATCCATTTGGATCATCACATGGAATCCTTCTCCATAGTATTTAGCCTGGTGGCATGGCTGGTTGGCAGGAGACCCTATGCAGTGTTCTGGAGTATCAGGCTTCCCTCTTAACACTGCCATGGGGACACTTCAGATTGATTTCCAAAAGCAACTGGTTGGGCTGATATTTCTGTGAATCTCAGAAGTGCTGCAGATTAGAGTAGGACCTCAGCCTTCTCAAGGGGTCAGAAACATGTAGTGCAGAGGTCTTTCCAGATCTCCCAGGGGACCTTGCACTGATAGAGGAGAGCAGCTCCGCAGAGAGTGGTCTGACCATGTGCACTCCTGGATTTGACACAAAGACGATGCATTCTTCAGTGGTGACCAGTTCTTAAAACTGAAACAACCATCTGTGTCCCTTTGCTCTTAAAGTGTGGGGAGACGCCACTTTTGAATGAAATCTCTTGGTTTCATTCTCAAGAATTTGAAGGTGTGTTTAAACTGGACTTTGTCTTTTTCAGTTTCTCTGCAGGTGGATATTGTACCTAGCCAAGGGGAAATCAGCGTTGGAGAGTCCAAATTCTTCTTATGCCAAGGCAAGTGCCCCAGGCCACACTGCATTTCAGGCCCCACACTCCAGCAGAGGTGTAGCCAAAGGCATTGCTTTCTGCGGGGCCAACAATGCGACTTGAGAGCCAGCAAGCTCGCAGGCCCTCTTCCTTCCTTCCTCTCTCAAAGTGAAATGTGTCATCTGGCCTTCTTGATGGTAGAAGAGCTCTAGGGATATTCCTAGGAAAGTCAGCACACGTCCCATAATATCTACGACCCCTGCTCTGTGCACAGCCAGAGTTCTGTAAATGACAATGGAGAACAGAAATGGTGCTTCCCCCCAGAACAGTGAAATCCAAGCTCAAAAACTTTCCTGAAAGAAAATTGAGTACTAGTATTTCTTTTCTGTGAGGATATATGTTCTAGGTTTCCAGGTCTATTGTGAATTCCAATATTCTGCCCCATTGCCCCAACCAGAGCTCTAGGATTTGTTGGACTTCATGTCCTTGATTTTTCTTTAGAAATTATGCCCCATTTTCACAGCTTAGATAATTACCAGGAAATGTCCTGTGGAGGGTAAGACTTCAAATCACACTTCAAATTCTCTGTGACATGACTAGGATTTGGAACATGGAAGAAACAGGAAAGAACTAAGTTTGATATAAACTGAGACATTTATCAAGCAACTTTTATTAGGGAGGGGCCTTGAAATGCTATCATGATTTGGGTTGGATAAAGTGGCCTGTGGCCGCTGGATGTGTTCACCCAGCTTTGCCTTCATTACAGCAATTTAAGTGATCTGGAGATACAGCTATGGAGCCCACAGCACATCTTGCAAATAGCGATATTTATTAAAAACATGATGGGCCCTGAAAGGAAGACGGCTTCGTTTCCATACTAAACATCTGTGCAGGGCTGGGTGCTATGGGCCAGGGAAGACACCATGCAGAGAGGCAGGACAAAGCCACATCACCGGACCCAAGAGCCCTTGTTCCATCTCAGTGTCTGAGGCAGCTAAGCAGCAGCATCTGCCCCTCCAAGGTGCCTGGGGAAATGACACATGGGTGATTCTGGTTACCTTCTTCACAGCATTTAAGGAGATGAATTTCTCAGTCTGTGGCAGAGAGTGCTGGAATGACAGTCATGCCAGTCTGTGTAGGCAGATGTACAAATTAAATGATGTGAAGTCTGTACTCCTAGACTAGCCAGTGTCTCATCTTCCACTTAGGAACCCATACTCTAAGCCTTTGAACATAATAAGCTAATCAGTTGGCTCAAACCAGCTAAGCACTTGAGCTCAAATCCTAGATATATTAATCCCCTTTGCCCCCACCCATCCCCATTCTGTGAGGCTGTTCATTCCTAACTGAGTGCTTGGTACACATTAGGTCCTCAACAAATATCTCTTCTTTTCCCTCACTAAGGATAGGACCACCATGAGAAATACTGGCACAAGTGGTTGTTGAGTTTTTTCCATATACTGTAAGTGGCGTTATGTATGTAACCAACACAGAAGCCAGAGTCACACTCTAAGGTCACCCCTCCCTGATCATCCAGCCCAATGATCTCTTGTTCAATAGCTTTTACTGAGTACCCACTGTCACCCTGGTGGGGACTTTGTCATTTTAACTTCTGTGCTTTGAAAATAATCTCTTCCTCTTTAGTGGCAGGGGATGCCAAAGATAAAGACATCTCCTGGTTCTCCCCCAACGGAGAAAAACTCACCCCAAACCAGCAGCGGATCTCAGTGGTATGGAATGACGACTCTTCTTCCACCCTCACCATCTATAATGCTGATATTGACGATGCCGGCATTTACAAGTGTGTGGTCACTGGCGAGGATGGCAGTGAGTCAGAGGCCACAGTCAATGTGAAGATCTTCCGTAAGAGCCTCCTCCTTCTCCTTCTATATCCCTGTCCCCTCTCTTGGCAAGGAAGACACGTGGGCAGCAGACAGAGTGGGATGGCAATAGAGGAACAGCTGAGAGCTTGACAGGGCTTCTTTCTTTCTTTCTTCACCCTAAGTCTTTTCTGAATTGAGCTAAGAGCTCCAGTATACTGTTAAATGATCCTTGGCCAACTCAACTCACAACCTGGGTCCATGCTGGTCAAAGCAACTTCCCACTGGCCCCCATTCTCCAAATTTAAACTACACAGTTTCCAGAAAGCTTTTATGGGTACCCCTATCCCTTCCTCAAGTGTTGACTGACCATTGTCCAATTCAGGGTCCCCCCTTATTTCACTCTCCCCTGATGGTAATGGAGTCCAAAGGCTCAGTGGGGAGTGGACAATAGGTATTATTTGAACACTCTGTGCCACTCAGAACAGGCAGCTCCAACTGCCACTGAAACCTGGTCTGATGATGGCATCTCATTACTTTTTTATCATGCATCTGTCTCGATGGCCAGTGGTGGGTGACAATTAATGGAACAGTATTGATTGCCACATTATTGATTGCCATTATTGTTTTTTTTTCTGTTCTATTCTTTAAAATTCTCTCTGCTGTGGGAAAGTTGGGGTTAGAGTACCAGACAGAGTGGGAGACAGAGAAAGGATTGATGACTCCTACTGTTCATTGTAGAATAGGTGTTCTACCAGTTCATTCTACCTATGCATTGTGTCTCAGTGGCACCATCCCACATAGCAAAGGACCCTGGGTAAAGACAATCCTTTTCTTCCATGAATGTTTTATACACAAATTATGATAAATTTGGAACTCAGTAAATAGATGTTAATTGCCAAACTTTGACAATATATTCCCCTACTTGTACCAGCCACTCCACCTGGCATCTTTGACAGAGTTCTGGATGGGATCCACTCTTGTACCACTATATGTATTGATTAAGAGTTGTCTGCAACTCGAACCCAGACAACATGGCTCCAGTGAAAAGGGATATTTGTGGGAAGACCAGCTGTTTTCCCTCACTCTTCTCTTGCTCATTTTCCAGAGAAGCTCATGTTCAAGAATGCACCAACCCCACAGGAGTTCAGGGAGGGGGATGATGCCGTGATCGTGTGTGATGTGGTCAGCTCCCTACCCCCAACAATCATCTGGAAACACAAAGGTCGAGATGTCATCCTGAAAAAAGATGGTGAGACCTGAATTCCCTGACAGCTGCCTTTTCTCCTGGGCCACAAAGTGCCCTAGGGTTTCTACCTCTGCAAGCCTCTGAGACATTTTAATCCAAACTCAGATTCCTAGGTCCCAGAATCACATGCAGTTCCCAGGTCCTGAATGGGTGTATGTCTGTAGTTTTTATATTCAGGCACTTGGCTTTCTCTCCAAAGAAAAAGACAGATTTACAATAAACTTTTGCTCTTGGCTCTATGTCAGAGCCAGGGACACATTTTCTTATTTCACTTTAAAGCCCCACACCGTAAGACTGAAGCTAGGAAAAAGGAAAGGCTCAGTGACCTACCTACAGATACAAGTTCTCCAACTGATCCTTGGATAAACCTACCTCTTGTCTCTTCTAGTCCGATTCATAGTCCTGTCCAACAACTACCTGCAGATTCAGAACATCAAGAAAAGTGATGAGGGCATTTACCGCTGTGAGGGCAGGATCCTGGCACGGGGGGAGATCAACTTCAAGGACATTCAGGTCATTGTGAATGGTGAGGAGATCTGTTCTTCCTACTCTCTACGTCCCTGCAACCTTGGTCCCCAAAAATCATTCTCTTTAACCTCCTCTTTGGTCTATAAAATATAGACCCATCAATCTCAGTTGAATGCCCCCTACCTCCTATTGCCTCTAGCTTTGTTCCTTTTCTTTTTTTTCTTTTTTTTTTTTTGTAAATATACTTGCCTTTTGGGTCTCCCTCCACTATGACAACTTTTAGTGTAAACCTTGAATGTCCTTCATTGTCTTGAAACACTAGAAACTTTCTCTGTGCTTAATAATGAATTCTCATTCATCTTTCATTGTCCTTGATGTTACTCTAATTCTGAAGTTAGTCCCCTGGTTCAATGTTCAAAGAAAATACTATAATCAATTCAGGCTTTGGAATAGTCAGAATCATGGTCCATGGATTTATTAATCTTAATTTGCAATGTCAAATAAACACATCTGTGGAATCGATCTGACATTTACAGGATGTTTACTGGAAATTATAATGTCAGTACTGAGAAAATAAGTAAATCATGGTCATATTGTTTTGGCTATTGATACATGTTTTTGCCAAACTCTCCCCCTCTCATTCCTTTAGTAAAACAGTTTGTGCACAGGGTTGTTTATGACATCCCCAGAGAAATGTCACTCTTTGGTGAACTGGTGCATTTCAAATTGGTGTTAACCATTTAATCACCAGGATCAGGGCTTTCAATTTTTTCCAGTATAAAGAGTCTTCTTTTGAATATTAAGTTCAGCCAACCATGGTAGTTGTAAGTTGAGTATGCATTGATTGAGAAAATATGTAATGATAAATAGCTACTCTAAACTGACTACCATTTTAAAATGGATAAAATGCATTAATATAGTTTCTGAAGCTATATTACTGAAAAACAATATTATTATATGGGGTGGGCAACAGTACGTTAATAATAGTGATAATAAATGCAATAATTAATAAATAATATTATAAGAATAAACCGTTTTGCATACTCATACCACCTATAAACCTACTTCTGCCCAACTCTGTATATTATCATAAAACACTAATGCATATTTACTCAGTCTACAACAATTATTTAGTACCTGCACGAATTTAGATCCCTTACACTAACTCTGTAGCTGCCAGGACTCTTGACCCCCAGTCTATGACCCCTTGATATAGGGTTCCCTAGAAGTACTTCTTCTTGCCAGGCCACTGAGTTTTCACAACATCCCTGACAGTCCTTCTATCCTTCAGTACCACCCACCGTCAAGGCCAGGCAAAGCATAGTGAATGCCACCGCCAACCTCGGCCAGTCCGTCACCCTGGTGTGCGATGCTGAAGGCTTCCCGGAGCCCACCATGAGCTGGACAAAGTAAGACACTGGCTCCTGCCTTTTATCAGGGACTAGCAGAGAAGGGGGCAGCATAGGGCCTGCTCCATGCTGGCATTGCAATGGAATGGGAATAGACTGCCTGGAAATGTTATCAACTCCAGGTGCAGAATGGATGGTTCTCCTGTACTGTGCATCAGATTCCTTCATCTTCAGTTTGTGGGGCAGAGGGATATGGCCTTGGAGGCCCTCTTTGCTATGTCTGTGGGTGCAGTGTGCAGCCCTGGGACAGAATCAGAGGTTTGGATGGAGGAATCAAAGGTATACGTGGAAATACAATTTGGTGTCCTAACTTTCTGTGAAGACTGAGTCTTTCCCATGGACTCAGACTGCATTTTATGGAGACTAACTAAAAAATAAACATCTTATCTCTGTGGTCAAAATCATGGTACTTTGCATTCTGCACCCTATAGGGATGGGGAACAGATAGAGAATGAGGAAGATGAGAAGTACTTCTTCAGTGACGACAGTTCGGAGCTGACTATCAGGAAGGTGGATAAGAATGACGAGGCTGAGTATGTGTGCATCGCCGAGAACAAGGCTGGAGAGCAAGATGCATCCATCCACCTCAAAGTCTTTGGTAAGGACAGTGGGGGTCAAGGTCTCTAAATTCCTCTTACCCTACATATTCAATCCATCAGCTAGAGCCAGTCCACTCTACCTCAGAATCTATCCCAAATGCTGCCAATTTTTGGCAGCTCTACCATCTGTGCCCCAGTTCAAGCCACTGTCCTGCCCCCATGCTCAATGGCACAGCCTCTCAGCTGGTCTTCCTGCCTCCCATAGGTTCCCTTCAACCCTTCCTACTCACAGTAGCCAGAATGACCTTAAATGCCACTCCTATGTTTAAAGTCCTCCCATGGCCCTGGCCAGATGACTTAGTTGGTTGGAGTGTCATCCCATACGCTAAAAAGTCACAGGTTCAATTCCTGGTCAGGGCACATACCTAGGCTTTGAGTTCAATCCCCAGTCAAGGCTCATATAGGAGGCAATTGATCAGTGTTTCTCATTCCCCCTTCCTTTCTCTAAAAATCGATAAACATGTCCTTGGGTAAGCATTGTAAATAAATAAATAAATCCTCCCATGACTTCCTATTGCAACCAGGATAAAATCTAGAACCCCTACCATGGCCCACATCACTAAACCCAAGCTAGCCCACCTTCTTTCCTGACCTCATCTTCCTTCCACTTTGTTATACATTTAAAACTCTCCAACCCCTCAGGCCTCCTTTCCACCCCTCAGACACACCAAGCTTGTTCCCTGCCTCAGGAACATTGCACTTGATGTTTCTCTCACATGGAATATTACACCCCCAGATCTGCTCCCTCAGCTGGCTTCTTCTCTCAGATCTCAACTCTACCACCTTCTTCATGAATCCTCTCTGCACTGCCCTGCCTAATGCAGGTGAGAGGTGCCCTATCACCACCAACCCCCCTACCTCCACTAATCTCTTCCATTAATCTTACTGCATCATCTTCATTGCACTTTTCAATACCTGAACTGACTTCACTTACATATTTGTTTTGGGGATTGTCTCTCACCTCCACTAAGAGCATAGACTCCAAGATGGCAGCGTGCTGGCTGTCACATACATTGCCTTATCTCTGCCCCTCCAAACACTGTCAGACTCATCATGGGTCCTTGGTAAATATTAGTGACCAGTGCCTCTGTTTCCCTTTGCTTCCTTCCCTGGCCTATGTGAAACAGTGCCATAGGAGTCATGAAAAGGGCCCCCACAGCTCTGTTCACTTTGTCTTTATAAACTCAGTTAACTTTCATTCATTTAGAATTGAAATGCATTTTGATCTGATCTTGGAAAAAGAATTTGTGATGGAGAAATAGTTAACCTAGTGTCTCTCAACTCTCTCTGCTGATCTTTTCAAAAACCATAGATAAACTGGTCCACTGTAGACAGTGCTACCAGAACAGATGTCAGAGAGGCGGCTCTGGTGCGTGAGACTTCCAGGCTGTTACAGTGTTTGCCTGGGGACCTGCTCAGGACCTGCTTGTCCAGCCTGATCAGGAGAACTGATCTGTTTGTAAACACAGACCTTTGAAAATCAAGCATTTATATGTAATTGGACTTGCTAATCACGGGTGAATCTGATTTATTCAGTAATAACAATTGGGTTTATAAACAGTGTATCAGTGTGCCTCAGATTAACTTAGTATATAACTGAAGTATATACTTGAAGGTGAAAACTAAACTTCTTGGAAAATATTCTTGATAGTCTTTTGTCTAATTCTGACTGGTCTTCCTCAGTCACACTAATTGTAAATTGTTTTTATATTATAGAGAAAGACACACGGATTTGTTAATTTATTTCTTCATTTAACAAATAAGTATTTATTGATCACCATCATTGCTAGACAGAGGGATTACAGAGATAAGTAAGATATGGCTCTTTGACCCTGAGATGCACAACAAAGAGACAAATATATAAGCATATAAATTCTTGATATAATATTTAGATAGTTTCAGTCAGTAACATTTGAATGCCTGGTATGGGCTCAGCCATTGCCAAAGTTACAAGGATGAAAAACAAGCACTCTGTTCTCATCAGTGGGTTCACAGACTAAAGCAGATGGTCAACACTGAGATTTTTATCCTTTATAACGACTTCACGATAACCACATGCATAGGGTTTTGTAGGAAAGGGCCTCTAGTCCTGCATGATGGAAGTTAGAGAAGCCCTTGCCAATGATGTGCTAGTAAACAAACAGGAGTTTCCCAGAAGAGGAAGGATGGGTGAGCATTTCAGGCCACACATGCACAGGCTTCTTGTGGACAGGGACCTGTGTCTGCTCTACTCACAGATGTACCCCTGGCACCTAGAGCAGTGCCTGCCATGGAATTGATAGTAGTATTTGAATAAATGAGGGAATAGCAATTAGTTTTGTATGAATTAAGCATAATGCATATGGCAGGGAGATCATCCTAGAAATGTATAACCATAACTTGTCTTTAGGAAATTCTTTTAGATATTAGCCCTATAAAATAATAATCATGCCGAGCAGAAGTGAGCACTTATAGTGTGCCAAGCACTATGTGAAGTACTACTCATAAATTAGCTCTTTTAATCCTCAATACAACCCTGTGAGGTAGATTTAATTGTTATCCCCATTTTACAAATGAGGAAACTGAGCACAGAGAGATTCAAACCCACCCTTCATCCAAGATTCAAGCCCAAGCTTTTAAGTCCAGTCCCTCAGCTATCAATGGTAGTTGCTACCCCACGAAACCCAATTTAATACATATTATATCTAAATTACATACGGGCACTGCCGGTGTGGATCAGTGGGTTGGGCATCATCCTGAAAACTGATAGGTTGCTGGTTCGATTCCCAGACCAGGCATAAGCCTGGGTTGCAGGTTTTGTCTCCCATCAGGGTGCATATGAGAGGCAACTGATCAATATTTCTCTCTCACATTGATGATTCTCTCCCTCTCTTTCTCCCTCCCTTTCCCTCTCTCTAAAAATAAAAATGAATACAAAATTTTAAATTACATATGGAGTGACTGGTCATAGTGAAATTAGTGTGCTCTTCCTTCACCATGTGGGTAACTTGGTTTCTCTACAGAAGTACACTCAGCTCCAACCTGACTGTCAAGAACAGACCTTGGCTTCTTTTCCAGCCTCTCTGGTGGACACAGCTGCACTAGGAAGGAACCATGTGGGGCCATGCTGGAGTGAAGGGAGTGAGGGAAGTCAGGGAAGTAGGTGATGAGGTAGGGAAAGTGAGACATAGGAACCATGGCAAGGCAGGCTTTGTCTTCCCACCCACCTACCTCACTATGCATCCCATCTTGAACCTCTCTCTCTCCCTCCCCTACCTCTGGCTCTACTACCACAGTTTCTTTCCCAAGACTGCAGCTGGGAGAATGTACACTAGGCAGCTCAGTAGAGCAAAGCCAAGTGAGGTGGCCAGACTCCTACAGACACAGGTAAGGAAACCATAGATTGTTAGAGACCATGTCTAATCCAGACCCTCCATAATGAGAATCCTCCTCTGTAATGTCTGTAACCTGCTACCATTTAGACTCTCCTTTCCCTCTCCATTCATGTTCCTGACCTCCTTTCTATCCACCTCCTTTGGTCTTCCCACTTGGTTAGGAGATTGGTACTAGGGCCAGGGAACAAGGTGGGGAGGGGCCAGCCACTTAGGGCTTCATCTTTCTTCTACACTTTCTCTCCTTCTCCTTCCCCTCTGGTATGCCATCTGAGACTAGCACTTGGGGGAGAAATACAGCAGATTCCCCTATCCCCGTGGCAGCAGAGTCAGCAGCAGTGAGATAGAGGAGCAAAGAAACCTGTAGTTTAGATAATAAACAAGCTCTGAGAACTCCTGTGGCTTTAAGAAGGGATGGCAATTAGTGTGTTAGGGGCATATTTAAATTAGGGTCTGCCATAATTGCACCTAACTGACATCATTTTTTCCTAAGAAAGGGAAACGTTTTAGCATGCACTGCCCTAGTTATCAGCCAAATGTTCTTTTTACTAAGTAGTTGCATCCTTTAAATTTGGTAGTGAATTTCCATTGCTCCTCTCCCTATGGGCCTTTCTGAAGAAGTATTTTTGTCTCCACAGATTCTTATTATGCTCATATGAATGCTCTTAAGGTCTCACACTGCAGAGAGCTTAGGCAAGTTCACCAAGAGGCAGAAGCCTGGCTTAGCTGATCCCTAAGGACCAAAGCAGCCCTTGTGAGTTACAGCAAAGGACAAACGGGGCTGAAGGAAGGTGTACCTGGTCATGCCCAACCTCTCAGTTCACAGAAGCAGGACTCCACAGCCTTTCATGGACTAGGCTTGCAGAAACCTGGATTGAGGTGAAAGTAGATAAAGCTGGCCCTCAGTGGCAGGACAGAGCTGTGGACACATTGGAAGAGGAGAGCAGGCATGCTCACAGGAGGGTCTGTGGGGAGAGGGGCAATGGATCAATCTAAGGCAACAGGCCCCATGTGGCAGGTAGAGAATAGAACAGGGATCCAGTGAAGGGCTCACAATAGAGGTTAATTAAGATAGTGCATTACCATCCATAGATAAAACCTGGACACATTCCTCTAGATGCTGGTACACAGAGGGAAGTAACCCTGGGTCTGTCCCTGTTTGCCTTTGCCCCAGCATAATTATTCAGAGCTCTTCTTTTCACTCTCAAGTGTGCTCCAATTTGAACAATAACTTACATTGCTATTCTATTTCCAAGGCCATATTCTAAGCCTTCAGTTTGTTCTGATAATAGCCTCGTTTCTGAAGTACAGAGAGGTTAACCAGTGAGAGGCTTACCTTCCTTCCAACAGCCCTCTGTAGACCATACAAAATTAGTCATTGTTAATAATGTTTTAATAAGAATATAGTTTTCCTTTTTCTAGAGACTTGTACAGTGCACCCATTATAACCATTTGCAAAATGGAGCCTCCAAGATCAAATACTATGAATAGACACTAACTTGTCCTCTGTCTTCTGCCAACCCTTTGCTGCCGGGACAAGTACTATGGATCAGGTCGCAGCATCTGACTAGGTTTCAAGAGCCCAGGGTCCCTATAAATCCCTCTAACCCGCACCCAAAAACTGTTCAGTTTTAGTGAATTCAGTTATTTGGATGATTTTTTTAACTTCTCAATCTGTGATTTTAGCAGGATAGAAATCCAGCTTTTCCTTTTTACCTGTCTAAAACCTCCTTTACAACATTTAACCCTTACTTCATTCAATATGAGTTATAGGCTTTTTCAAAGTCCTATTTATCAAAGCCTTCCTAAAGGAAAACCTTGCTCATGAGGACTCCATCAATCCCAATTTGAGATCATTTGGCCACCTTGCACTGAGATGTGTTGATGTGCTAACTGGCAAATAAAGAGTTTGCTAAGCTGGCTATTAGTGCACAATTAACTTTAGAAGAATATTTGAACTATGTGGTAGTTTTATTTTTTTTTCCTTTTTTCCCCCCTAGATGCCTACTTGTCTATGTGGTAGCTTTGTATAGAAGCAGATATTTTCTACAGAAAATGCACAACTCTATCATTATTCTCTGTGTATTAAAGCAGAATCAAGGGTTTCAATTTGGAAGATGTATATAGGCAGTAGTTTATTAGTCTACTTGGGGTTACTGTATGAATTTGAATGTAAAGGAAGTGCAATTCTTTAAAAAATTATCCATAATTCTCATTTTTTATTTATTTATTGTTTATCTAGCCTGGTCTTTTTCTCTATCAGTGAAATAAGTTACATTTGTACAGTGTTATCTTTTCCCACCTATGGAAGGTTTAGCAATTTCAGAGTATAATTGTTTTAAATTGGGAAAATTCAATTTTCTCTAATGTTTTAGCATTTAACTAAGCTTTGAATGCTTGCACTTTCTTGCATTACCCAAAACATTTGGAAAATGAACTCATCTCATCTTCTTCCCATCCCAGCCCCATCCACAACCCCAACTCACTTGCCCATTTCCTTACTTGAGTTAACACTAACACAACTTTTCCAGTCATTATGAATCTCAGTCATTTGGCTCCTTCTCATGCCTTCTTTGTTTCTTGCCCTCTGCTTACTTGCCACTGCCCATAAAACCCCTCTTGCATCTCTCTCAAAGCTGTCCTCTCCCCTGGCTGGCGTAGCTCAGTGGATTGAGCACGGGCTATGAACCAAAGTGTCACAGGTTCGATTCCCAGTCAGGGTACATGCCTGGGTTGCAGGCCATGACCCCCAGCAACCACACACTGATGTTTCTCTCTCTCTTTCTTTCTCCTTCCCTCTCAAAAAAAAAAAAAGAATAAATAAATTTTTTTAAAAAGCTGTCCTCTATGTTCCCCCCAAGACAGCCTTGATCGGGATGATGTTACAGCACATTGGGACACTGCCAGAACTTCCAAACTGGTTTTCCCACCTTGAGGTTTTCTCCTTGCTAAATTACCTTGAATTTTTTCTAGATTAACCTTCTTGTAAGACAAGTGATCACTTCATCCCTCTGATCAAACACTGTCAGTGGGCCTCCAGCTGCTACAGAATACAATTCAAGCACAAGCTTTAACTGGGACCAAGACTCTCTGTGCCAGGATCCAACCTTGTTTCCCTCTGCTTTGATGCACATGCATGGCTCTCTTCCCAACCCTCTCTTCACATAGTGCTGCTTCATTGCTTTTATTCAAGCAGTTTTCTACCTTTGCAATGACTCTATCTCCATCCCAAAGTTTCACTGACTGAAAATCTCATGATCTAGCCCAAAAGCTGTGTCCCCCCTTAGACTCCAAACAGAGGAGAGCTCTTCCTCTGCTCCATGCCTCATGTACCCATTGCCCTTACTTAGCAATCTTACTATAGAGGATGTTGTTTTTATTACTGTCACCTGGGTATTGTCATATGCCTGCTTCACGGTAAACTCCTTGGGGCTTCACCACCTAGAATACAGCCTTATACTTAGGAAGTGGATAACCTTTGTTGCATGGGTACATGTTACCATTTAAACCTGGAAAGCTAAAAATATTAGGTAAACATTACAGGAATGTTTTTTGCCTTTTCAGCAAAACCTAAAATCACATATGTAGAAAACCAGACTGCCATGGAATTGGAGGAACAGGTCACTCTTACCTGTGAAGCCTCGGGCGACCCTATTCCCTCTATCACCTGGAGAACTTCCACCCGAAACATCAGCAGCGAAGAAAAGGTATAATGTCGCCCAAGAGTTTCAGGGCCATGGAACGCAGACTCAAACAGACTGAGTCTTCCCCATGCCCAGTTCTCTTTGGTGAGCCAGAAGGTGGGACAAGGTCACTGGAGGCTGAAAGCAGGTTCTGTAGCTTTCCTCCTCCAGCTTGCCTGGATGCAGCCTGCTCAGCATCCTCTGGCAATGGAAGGGGTATTTGCAGGGGTGTGATGCTGGTGGGTATGGTCAAAGTAGACTCTAGTTCTGGGGAGGAAGAGGACAGTGAGTTTCAAACACAAGGTTATGAGGCTGTGAGGAACAAGGCAAAACAAAGGTCCTGGTGCTCCAGGTGATTTCATCCTCATCTCAGGGCACCCAAGGAAATGTCTCCTGGAAATCATAGGGTCAGAATAAGCCTATCAGTTCTTTCCCTTGTGCTTTGTATACTCATGCTATACATGCACTGTCTGCACAAAAGCTTGGTTGCCTTTGTGTCTGCCTGTATTCTCAATCACACTTGTATATCATTTTGATCTAAAGGCAAAAATAGTTAGCAGTTTCCACATGACAATGGTTGTACTGGGCTCTACAATATATTCACTGAGAAAGTAAGAACAATGTAGCAACCTTTCTGACAAATTTAAGTGACTGGGAAGATTTAACTTTAAAAGATGTAGACTTACAGACCACGGGAAAGCTGTCTTTTTAACTGACAATATATAATAATTGAGACAACCATCATGCAACTTTTGCTATTGAGTGGGCCAAAAGCAGAAGGAGGAATAAGGCTGGTTTTAAAATGACTGAAACCATCTTATGGCACGTCTACAATCTCATCTCATATGTCCTGTAGTAATGGGCTTCATTTCAGTTGGCCAAAGCTTTGTCACCTATTCAGAAGTAATGACCTAAGATTAAAAGGACATTTATAATGGATTGCTTATTGACCAGAATGTCAGAAATGATAGATCTTCACTCTTCTGCCTACCTAAAGGAGATCCCTAGAGAGGGTAAACTCAAGTTAAGCCAAAAAGGGATAGCGTGAGAACCTAGAGCCAGATTTGGGATCTGCATTTGAGGAACTGACTTCTGTCCCACTAATAGAAAGAAAAACCAAATAAAAAAGAACAGAAATTACTGTTCCAAAAGAAATATTTTTGCAAATTTTACCTCCAGAGTTGAATTCAACTCAACAAAAACTCAACTGAGGAACTGCTAAGTATTTTTGAAACTCATATATGCTGCTTGGTATTGTACTGGATTAAGAAATATGGTGTTTACTTGGGTACTTTCTTTATCAACATTGGAATTAAACCCTCAGCTCAGATTTCAGTTCCATTGTGTGTGCTACGTGGATTGAATGTACAGTACATTTCAGGGCTTAAACCACAGGGCCACTGCTTGACAGATTTTTCTATGTCACACTTGAGAGCAGATTTGTGCAGAATGACCCAGGGTATATCTTTGACCTCAGTGAAGGACATAAAAAATATCTATCCCAGATGAATGATGCTTTTAAATCCTGTATGTTTTCTAGGAATAACTCAACTGCTAAGCTAGACCAGAAGGGTTATTAAAATTTGTGCCTACCTCAGGTCTTTTAATGGACTGGCACCTGTGGCTTGTATCTGTGAATTCCTTTTTATAGAATGAGAACAAATAACCAGACACTAATACACACTCATACTTACTAAATATTGAGACAAAAGGTGTTCAGCAGAGACTGCTTCGAGCCAAGTAGACTTCGTATAATTCACTTAACAGTGTAGACCATTTGTCTCAATCTGAGATAATTATTTAAGCCCAAGCACATAGGTTTTATTGTGGTTTCTTTTACAAAATACTGCTTTCATATTTACTTGAAGTGGCAATACTGGAACATGAGTGAATCAATGTTAGAACAAGCCCTCTAAGTCAGCCAGCATTGTGATACCAGATTAACATGTCTGCCTAAATGAAACCTGTATAGAAAAGTTACCATTTCTATTAATTTTATATTGACATCAAAGAGGCATGATGTCCATCTTATACATGGATAACTAATAATTAAGAAAACAAAGGTGGTCTTTTTGTGGGCTGTCAGACTCCAGATAATAAATTTCACTTTTGCTTTGGTAGCTGTTCCTTATGTGCAACTCCATCTGAAGTTGAATGATATGAAATTAGGTATCAAATGAATTGATACCTAGAGTCAGTGAATTGTAGGAGTAGAAGAAAACAATTTTTCCTTTTCAAATCAGGGTGATACACTAAACAGGTAACAGTTGAATAGACCGTTGTATCAAACTGCCAAGCTAAAGAAGGCTCCTGAGAATTAGATCACATAAGATGCCAGAATCATAGGAGGCTGGAAGGAAGCCACCCTTTGAGGTTGCTTAGTCTTACCTAGCCCCTGCCTGCAAGTGACGGTGTCGGTCCTCTGCGAGGCAGTTGGCCAACGCTGACAATCGGGAAGGTCTGCTTCCTTGCCCCTTCTGCTTGTCAGTGTTCCTGCCTCTGCCAGTCAGCCTTTGTATGAGGGCCTGCAAAGTAGCTGCTCAATTTTTTTAGTCAGTTTGTTCTTGTGTACCTTACCAGTTGTCCTGTAATAGATAGCTTTGGTTCACCTGTGCTGCATTAAAATGTTGTGTTGCCCAGGGCCACTGATATAGACTTCCCTGGGGCTATTGCTCCCCTGATCTAGACACCATAATGCAGTTAGAGCTGCACTGGCCCTTCAGCACTTTCCTCATCCTGCTGCCTCACATTGAGCTTGTGGTCAGCTAAAATGTCCAGGTCTTTTTACATAAACTGCATGTAAGCCACATATCTCTTATCCCATTCTTACGCAATTGCTTATCCAGTCATGCAAAATTTTATATTTATTTCTGTTAAAAATTGTATTTGGTTGGTTGCAACCCAGTGTTCCTCAATGTGGTCATTACAAAAATTTGGGAAGATTATTCCTTTACTGGAACTGTCCCTTGTACATTGTAAGATATTTAGCACCCTAAGCCCATCCCCCTAAATACCAGTAGCCACCTCTAATCATTGTGATTACCAAAATTCCACATGTAAAAACACTGTCTGGCTTGAGAACAGTCATTTGAGTCTGCTCTCTGGCCAGTCAAGAATGCCTTTCATTAGAACTGTTCTTTAGAGGTCTCTGGGTCCAGGGAATTTCAATCCACATGCCCCCCACCTATTTTATTTATATATATTGAAAGTAATAAGGTCTAGCAGCCCATGGAGACCCCAGCCTGAGCATGACACCCAATGGCAGACAGTGGAGTGGTCTTCCCCGTGCACCTAGGAAGTATTGTATTAGTTATTGCTCCAACCTTAGGTGAACACATATTTGAAATATCTTGTCCAGGTCACTGGTAAAAGTGCTGACTGGGACAGGGTCAAGTACAGAGCCCTTAGAATGACAGCAGGGCTTCCTCTGGGTTAGTGGCTAAGAAGGTAGAGCACCGAATGCCCCAGTGCACACTCATGATTTTAATGACTTCTGTGAAAGGCTCAATGGTTTCTTCAATAAAGTTATTTCCAATATAAGCTACTTAGAACAGCCTGGTCCTTTGCTTCACTGAGAGGAGAAGAGGCTTTCAACCATAGACACATAGTGAATTTCTAATGGAATATTTATGTGTTTCTTCCTTAAAAAAAGAAGGGAAAAAAAAGCAAAACCCAGAACAGTGAGCCTGCATGTCGTACCCTGTCTTTGGTCATGTCTCTAGGTTTAGTCCAATCACTTGTTAGAGATTGGTCATCGTCAATCTGCTGAGCTTCAGCTAGCTGAGTTGGTTTCACTACACAGCTGATGACAGCTAGGTTCAGTTCAGGCCATTATGGCCATTAGGGTAGATCATTTGTCTGAAAGTTAATTCATTTCTTAGTGGTCACTATTATGTTGACAAAAAACAAAACATGTTTAAATGTCGCAATGGGTCAGTGTGATCGATGTGTATGGAGGTCACCGTGACAATGAAGGTACAAAGAAAGTGTGTGCATCCACACCATTTCATTACTCTTTCTGCCCACACTCATTTTAACTGTTGCCAGGCACTTCAGTAAGTGGCACTAAATTCCAGATACTATTTACATATTGAATGAAACTTCCAAGTGATAATTTGCATCATCTGTCTCTGGCAGAACAAATTCACTGTGTGCTTGTTTGAACATGCCTTTGAAATGACTGGTAAAGGAAAGCATATGAAGCCTCAATGTTTAAGGAAAAGGAGAGGGGCCAAGAGTTGAGATCAAAAGAGAGAAACAGAAAAAGTGAAAAGCATTTTGTGAACCTTGAATTTTGAGCAGACCAAGTAGCCCACAAATAAAAGACCTTTTGAAATTCTGAATTATCTGCAAACTGAAGCTTTTTATCACCAGGAAGAATTGCTCATTCAATATAAACCAGGTGCTCACTTTTAAAGATGGAAAAGGTGCCTGCGTCGAGCAATCAGAGGCTCACTTACCCTCTGGGTAAGTGAGCAAATGTCTAACAGGGAATACTTTAGAATAAGTGAAGGGATGTTTCACTTTAATTTATATACATATTCCTCCAGACTTGTAAGATAATAAAAACCTGGAGCTAACAATTTTTGGAATAGTACTAATCATATTCTAATTTGGTTTTTGTGGGTATTTGCATATCAGGTTGACTTAATGTAGGCCACACACCTTCACCAAATTGTTAGGGGCAAGGCACATCTGATCGTTCCGCCATGCACAGGTGGGAGGTCAAGCAACTAGAAACATTGTGTTACTAGCAACTACTTATTCTAAAAGCCACAAGATCATAAGGATTTGGGAGAAGACACAAGTAGAATCAGATCTGAAACACAAACAACTCCATATGCTGTAGCCCCTAAATATATATATATATTTGATTCATGCAGCCCTGGCATGTGACAGACAAGCTTCTAAATGATGTGGAATTGGAAACCACATTCAACTTGTTGGCCCACTGTTACTATGCATGTTCCTCTGTCCCCACTTTCTTCATCATTCCAACATCATGTGACATAATCCCACATTTCCACCCTCATGTCTCTCACAAGAGCTCCTTGCATTTGGTGGACTCTTACTGAATGTTTGCTAACTCATTTTCATTTCCTGGATTGCACTGCTGTGTCTCTAGCATCTTTTCTATATTTTTTCCATCTCAACACAGGGACAATCAGGCAGTCATGCCATCTAATAGAAAGAACAATGCAGGGTATGATATTTCTGACTCCCCACATGAAAACACAAAAACTATAAACAGAGTAGATTCCCAAGTGCCAGATAAATAAAGAAAAATCTAGATGTGGGTAGGAAAAGACCCATCCTCTGTCCCTGAGTTGGCTCACTTTGTGGAGAATGCCATGCTTGATGAAGATGGTGCATGCTCCAGCCTGCGTGCCACGTGGGCCTTGCTCTGCCTCGCAGGGCTGGCTGGGGCCCCACCACAGCATTCAGAGTCTGGTTTCCTCAAAGCTTCTTGACCCATGCTCTTAGGACCCCATTCCTCTCATTCCTAATGTACCTCTATGCTCTTTTTCTTGTTGTTCCTTTTTTATAATTATTAAAGTTTGATCTTTGATAGTATGCATGCAGAGTTATGAAATGCATGAGCACAAAATGGCATTAGTTTATTTGTGATAAGCTGTCGATAAAATCCAAAGGAGGCAACATACTCTATAAGTATCTCTAGATCATGTGGTTAGAACAAGTAGTGTCACCAAATACTATGAAGAATATCCAGGACATGTTGGAATAGGAGCAGTATATAATATATCTGCTGGTGTCCATATGTCTGACTACCAAAGATTAGGCAAGGCTTTACCTTTGAGTTATACATCTTCATGTGCATAAGGTGGGGTGGGGGGAAGCTGAACATAAGTTAAGTCCTAAACCAAATTGGGCAATAGACACACCACTGAAAGTGAGTCTTGGAAAAATTCTGAGTTAAAAAGAAGCTGCATGTGCACGGAATGCCGTGTGATACATCAATTCTCTGAAGCAACATGTTGTAAAATTTTACTGCTTTCTTGTTGTGTTTTATATCTTGTTCTCTCCAGGCTTCGTGGACTCGACCAGAGAAGCAAGAGGTATAGCTTACCTGACCACTAGCCAGTCTTTAGTTTTGAAAGCATTACAGTTTAACTCATCATTATAGTTAATAACCAGACATGCTAAACCAATTAGTAATTTAGTTAGATTAAAGAATAAGTCAATAGTGGTAGATGTTACTTAGCAATAGTGTCATTTTAGGATGAGCAAGCAAGCTGTGTTGGGAGTGGATGAACAAATCCTTGTTATTTTCTAAAATTGGATCTTATTCTCTTGATGGTGCTGGTAAAGTCACATCCAGGTAATTATAGAAATAAATCTCCCCAATTCTCAGGCCAGTTGTTTTGAAATGGTGAAAGTTTTTGACTCCCACCTGGTTGACGCAGCTTTGGGTCAAAAAGTCACAGGGTTAGTGATCTGAAATCCCACTCAGTCCTTTCTTTTCCAGCTCAACTCATCTTGTTGCTCACGTATTTTATAATGATTGGTCTTGGTAAAGTACCACATCCCACTTTATCTCGAAGCAATGCAAATGATCTCCGGTTGGTTTTCCCAGGTTGTTAAATGTTATCTATGCTACTTTTGTAGAGCATTAAATTTATGAGATTAGAATGATTTAGCACAAATAGTTTCATGTTTTTAAAAGGTCAATAGCCTTTAGCCTTTGAAATTTCTCTGACTCGCTGCTTCATTTTGGGGACTTAGTTTGAAAAGTAAAGCTAAATATTAACCTTTAGATTTTAATTGTTACACTTCCAAGGTACTATTTTTTACCTGATTTGTGTGATTAAGTAACAGATGGTGAAACAAAAACCAGTATAGTTTAGACAAGGTTCAAGGATCTAACTGATAAATACTTTTAAAAAAATAGCTTTTGTCTCTTCTCCAGATGGAACTTTGACATTGTAATGCTATAAATGTAGACTCCAGCAAGCAATCCTGTAGGTTGTATTATAATTAGGTAAATCTATCCTCTTAGTCTTTTTCGAAATGGTAATTATTCAAAACACATAACTCATGTGTTCAGGTCATGGCTATAAATATTTAATGCTGTTTAATATTTAAAAGTTGAGCTGTCCCCAGGCACTGATATTAATTTTTGCACATGAACACACTGCCATCATCAAATCTAGTTCATTATAAGCTGTCTTCTCATTAGACCATCCTCCATGTCATAGGGACTGTAGTTCAGTGCACATCCTCACTGAGATGCTTCCTTCCTATGGCACAGGAATCGCTTAGTGCTGTTACAGGCTGGGTGTTTTATTGCTTTAAAGTCATGGACCCAATGGGATCGGGGAAGGGAGAGAAGGGTTAGTTAGTCAGATAATTCCTGAGCAGCTATAGGGCTCCTTCTGCCTGGCCTTGTACATCTTCCCCCTGTCATTCTGCTTAGGCCTGGATGAAGGAGGAGCTGAGATTTATCAGGGAGCATTAAGATGACATTAAAAGAATTATTATCATAAGTAGAAATAATGGGCTGACTCCCATTAAGCAGACACCACACTCTGGTTTTTCCAGAAGTGTCCTTATCTTCACATCTCACTCTGGACATAATTGACTTTCAAATGAGTGCCGCCCGTGGGGCCCAGAAGCTTCATTCCCTCCTATTTGTCTCATTCAGAGAGGAAGACCTTAAGTCCAGATGAATGAATTATCAACATGACTTTTGGTCTGGACTGCTTGCAAGTGGCACACCCTGACTTCGTCCCAGTGCCAGAGTAAAAGTTTCAGAGGGAGGTAGTTCAGGCACCCTGGAGTACATCCATGCCCCTAAGAGGGAAAACTGGGCATCTGGCAAATAATCCCATCATCAATCCTGTCATGAGACACTGCAAAATAAAGAATTCTTTATAGTGGGCTGCCTGCTGGTCTGTTGGCATCATTAAATGAGAAAAATTTCCAGAAAGAGAAATTTAGGAAAGAGACCAGATAAAAGGGGAGAAAAAGGTATAGCTGTAGGTACAACCATTTCCTGAAATAGCTGTGAAATGTAATGGGGCTTAAATGGCTGAAATGGATTAGATCTGTCAGTGACAGTGCAGTAACTTGTTTGATAGATCTGCTGAGACTACTGACAAGGCCAGTGGTGCCTTGCTTTTGAGTTTCCCAAACTAGCTGCTCTATGACATTGCAGTTCTGGGTTTTGGGCTTTCAAACCAGCATATCAAAATAATCTAAAGTCAGGTGTTCCTTCATTCTTTAAAGGCCCAAGCTCATTGGGTAACAGATGCCATACATAGGCAGACTACTCACCTGCCTCTCTCTGCAGAATATTATATGCTGGAGATAAGAGTGTGCCCCAGCCTATGAAGAATAAAACTCCTTTAGATTACCAGCTCTCTGGAGGATCTGAACTTGGGCCACATGCCCAGTAAAAGGGTTCCTGGACCAGCAACCATTTTACTTAGAGTGTCAAGGGGGAAAACCCTTTGGAAATATTCTAGTACCCATTGCCCAGGAATCATATGCTTATGTCCTTTCTGACCAATCACTGTAATTCCAGACACTTGGAAAGATAATTATAATATTGAGGACTAGAAAATGGTGGTGACTGTGGTGCCAAGGATCCCAGACCTACCTGGAACTCTCTGTAGCCCATCCCTGGAGACAGGACCCAGTTAACCGTATTTCCAGCTCAGCAGCCCCTGACTTCTGTCTGAATTATTGGGCTTTCTAAAAAAATAAAATAATTTTACTTTAAGCATCCAGGAAAGTGAGGCACCTGAACAAATACAGGTTTCTTATATAATTTCTTACATTTCGACACATTTGGATTTCCCAGGATGTGTGCATGCACCATGGGACTGGCAGACAGGCAGACTGCTAGAAGGGAAGGAGGGGAGTACAGATTTCCCGAATCTCACAAGGCAGGGCTGCTTCTGCTAAAATACCTGCTGGTCAGGGCTTTGCTTCCATTTTGGACATGCCAAACAAAAATCGTCTTGAGAGACCTTAATTGTCCCTGATCCAAACCATCTTGGTGAACAGCTAGGCAGCTTGACATAAACTGAGCCCCAGTTTCTGCTTTGGATATACCCCGGTTCCCATGGTGCTCTCTGCAACCTCCCCCACTATTCGGTACCTCAAGTTAAACTTAGATATTGGCAGAGAGGGGAGAGAGGGTGTGAGGCTGGTCACACACAAGTGATGGCCTGGTTTCCTAGCCCCTGTCCTGCCTTGGGCTTTGACACTCTTTGTTCCCTTTTGGCAGACTCTGGATGGGCACATGGTGGTGCGCAGCCATGCCCGCGTGTCGTCCCTGACCCTGAAGAGTATCCAGTACACAGACGCTGGAGAATACATCTGCACTGCCAGCAACACTATCGGCCAGGACTCCCAGTCCATGTACCTCGAAGTACAGTGTGAGAAATAACTGCGGGGAGACCCGGGTGGGTAGGGGCCATGGAGAGTCTGCATGGAAACGGGAAAAGAGCAGCTAGGACCCAACCCGCACCTAGCGAGTTGGGCAGTTGGCCCTAGGTGATTTCAGAGCTGTATCCCCAAATCACCTCCTCACACCATCTCCAGGCTTCTTATAAGCCTGCATGCCCTCTGTGTTCCCATGTAACTCACAGGATTGCCAGAACAGCCCCAACCTCTACTGCACCCCGGAACTAGCTCTACTTCGGGGCACACCCACCTCCCTGTGCCAGGAGACAGGATATGTAGGGCTCCACAATAGTGGCAGTCTTCCCAACAGTCATTGCTGTTCATTGCAGATGCCCCCAAGCTGCAGGGCCCCGTGGCTGTGTACACTTGGGAGGGGAACCAGGTGAACATCACCTGCGAGGTATTTGCCTACCCCAGTGCCACAATCTCATGGTTCCGAGATGGTCAGCTGCTGCCCAGCTCCAACTACAGCAACATCAAGATCTACAACACACCCTCTGCCAGCTACTTGGAGGTGAGTGGGGTAGTGGCAAGGGACAGGGTGGAAAAGGCACAGTTAGACCATAGATAGGCTCCTGTATGCAGCTAAAGACCCTCTTGCTTCTCTGTCCTGAGCTGGGAGCCACTGGCCAGAGAAGAAACTGAGCTTTGGCCCAGCCCCCTTTCTCTCCCTGAGCAACCTCAGGGCCTGGAAGGTAGAGTGTGACTCTTTCCTGAGCCCCTTCTCTGTTCTTCTCTCTAGCTTAAGGCTGGGCTGGAACTCATGATTCCTGCTTTACTGGTTCTATTCTTTACTAATTTAATCTAATAAACAAGGCTCTGAGGCTGTGGCCATCCCAAGGGACATGTAACCAAGAACTCCTTCTTTCTAAAGGTGACCCCAGATTCTGAAAATGATTTTGGAAACTACAACTGCACTGCAGTGAACCGCATTGGACAGGAGTCTTTGGAATTTATCCTTGTCCAAGCAGGTAAGCACCCCTTACGGCTGCACCACCCTTCAAACCCTTGCCATCCCATTTTATGTCCTTTTTTGATGCCAGGAGAGTGAGAAGAAGAAAGAGCCAAGGTCAGCCAAGCAAGAGGCCAGGAAGCAGGACCAACGGAGGCTTGAAGTTGTGGGCACAGGGCACATGGGGAGAAAATCATATAGTGAGGTGGGCTGGGAGGATAGGATGAAGGTGACAGGATTTCAAGACTGAGCATAAGTAAGAGAGATGTGCTTTGTGATTGCAAGCTGTGTCCTGCCTGAAGCTTACCTGGGTCTCCATGTGTTCTTCCCACAGATACCCCATCTTCACCATCTATTGACCAGGTGGAGCCATACTCTAGCACAGCACAGGTGCAGTTTGATGAACCGGAGGCCACAGGCGGGGTGCCCATCCTCAAATACAAGGCTGAGTGGAGAGCAGTGGGGGAGGAGATGTGGCACTTCAAGTGGTATGATGCCAAGGAAGGTGGGTTGGGAAGAGTCTTTGCTTCTTTAGAGTGATGAGTCACTCAGTGTTGAGCACACATTCACCCAATGTTCATCAGATCCTGGCACCCTGACTGTCCATTTGGGTAGGGTAGCACACCCCTCTCACCCACTGGGGGTGGCCAGATGCCATCATGTGCCATCTCGTTCATGCTGCAACACTATCACCATCCCCTCAGAATCAGGGCATGGTCGCAACTCATGTAGATGTGTTGGCCCTCTGCCCCCTGGTACTTCAGAGCCTGGTTCCCATGACTCTGCCCAGATGGAGGAGGCCATCTCAACCACATGCCAAGCAGAGGCCCTGCTTAGCTGCTGAGCACAACCAGATGTGTGCAGTGCACCTGGCTCTGCGTATGTGAGTGACACGTGCTACGGGTTCCCTGCTGTATCCCGGCGGTCCTGCCTGAGTACATTCAGGGACCGTCATGTAATTATAATATTAAAATATTAACCAGATAAGCAGAGCCAGCAAGACACGTCTGCTCTTAAATCAATCCTGTGCCACATTTCCAATTAAAGATTTTAAAAATGACCCTTAGATGTCTTCAATCTGAAGACTCTGAGCCCAGACCATTTTTCCCAGGGGAGTGAGTATATTTATGTCTCACTCCCCTTGTGGGGTTAGATTGAAATAACTTAGTGAAGTATGTTTTGTTTCTGTAGAAGTTTTTAGTCCTGGCTCCAGTGGTGGTCACCAGGGTGGAATTGGGAGTGGGCTATGACATGGGGTCATAGCCAGTCAGAGGCATCTTCCAACCCAGTTTCACTGAGAATTCATTCCTCCAGAGAAGCTCCCATCTCTCCTTGGGCTTTGGTGAGGTGTCAGGAGGTTCTAAGAGGAATTTCTATGTCATCAGGACTACAGCCTTCCTAACTTTCCTCTGAAACCTCATACCAGCCTTGTGGCAGGTTGATCCCATGAAATATGTGTAACATAAAATGTACCACTTTAACCATTTTTAAGTATACAGTTCAAAGGCATCAAGTATGTTCACATAGGTATGCAACCATCACCACAGTCCATCTGCAGAATCCTTTGGTGTCATCCCAAACTCCGTACCCATTAAACACTAACTCCTTGCTCCCTACTCCTCCAGCTCCTGACAGCCACCATTCCACTTTCTGTCTCTATGTAGCTGACTATTCTGGGTGCTTCGTATAAGTAGAGTAATACAGTATTTATCCTTTTGTGTCTGGCTCATTTCACTTAGCATTATGTCTTCAAGGTTCACCCATGTCATAAGAATTACCTCCCTTTTTAAAGCTGAATAATATCCCATTGTGTGTACACACCACATTTTGTTTCCCCATTCATCTCTCCATGGACACTTGGGTTGTGTCCACTTTTAGCTCCTATAAACAATGCTGCTGTGATATAGGTGTACAAACATCTATTCCAGGTCTTTGCTTTTAATTCTTTTGTGTATATATCTAGAAGTGGAATTGCTGGATGAAATGATAATTCTGTGTTTAATTTTTTGATGACCCACCATACTGATTTCCACAGCAGCTACACCATTTTACCAATGGGCTTTTTATGCTTTGTGATCCTTCCCATATTCCCACAACAGCCAGCATGGAGGGTATTGTCACCATCGTGGGCCTGAAGCCTGAGACGACATACACAGTACGACTGGCAGCCCTCAATGGCAAGGGTCTGGGCGAGATCAGCGCAGCCTCCGAGTTCAAGACTCAGCCAGTCCGTAAGTAAAGCCAGCTGCCCTGCTTCCCCCCATACCCTCTTATCCTGGGGGCAGTAGGGAACCCCAAACTGTCCCACCATTGTTTAGATGACAGCTTTTTGTCTTTCAGGTCCCTGTGCTCAAGGTGGTCCGACCTCTTAGTTCTGTGGCCCTTAGATGACTGATACTAAATCCCTTTAACCTCTTTCTTGAGGGCTTGGTGACTGTCATAGTAGCTGGTCCAGTTTGTTAGAATAATAGCCCAGGGGGAAACCACTGACACGTTATTAAAGGGAGGGGAGAAACACAGCAGTGTGCTGTGGAGGGATTTGGGGGGGTTGTTTTTGACACAGGTCACAAAGGCCCAAAGCACCTTATGGCTTGAAGGAAGAGGGTGAAAGCAGTGACAGTTCACATAATTAGTTGTGGGACTGTGATGCAGCAGAGATATTAAATGATAGGAGAGTGGAGAGTGCTGTAGGATGCAGGAGCAGAAGCAAAGTCTTAACAATGCAAAAGGGAAAAGGATGCCAAGGCCTGTGATTTTTCTGCTCCCCCTCCCTTCCCACACCAGGAGCACACCTGGGGGTCTCCCTCCCTCACATCATCTTTCAAGAGTGGCTTCTTCCTGATTCCATTCAGGGATGCAGTTCTGTTTTCCGCCATCATTCCCACTCTCGTTTAAGTGTGCCCACCATTTTGCCCTTCCTTTCCCACACACTGCCAGACTCTGGGTGCACTCTGCCCTGGAACGTCCCTCCCCAGAACTGACTCACTGCCCCTGGAGGATCTGAAGTCCATCTGGCTGAAGAAGATGCTGTAGAACTCAACTGCTTGCATGGTCACCGAGCTCCCTGGGCCTCTCTGATTCCTGGTGTTAAAAAGCAAACCAGGGAACCCTTTGCTTCCTTCTCTTTGAAGCCAGAGAGATCCCCTTACTTCTTCCCAGAAGTAGAAAGCCTGTCTTATCTTCCTTCTACAGGAATTGCTTCTTTCTGGATTGGAAGTAATTTGGTAATTTGAGTTTCGAGTGCCATGTGTTCTGCAGATACTAGCCATTTCTTTTACATTTTATTTTTTTTCTTGGGTCTGTCTCTTGTCTTTTCTTTTCGTCTGTGTTCCATCCATGGGAAATGCAGATATCCCTCTTCCACGTAAGTGCCTCTTCATACCTCATTACCTGTTTCTGTAGTGTTAACATCTGCTAGTCCTAGCTCTTCATTTTAGTCCAGTTCCTTTTTGTCCCCTAGAGGCTGAAGTAGATGCTACTCTCCGGACTTAACCATACTGACTGTAGTCTAGTTGTGCTCCTGTTAAAGAGGCTAACCCTGGTCATGTTTTAGAGCATGCGACTTTTGTGTCTTTTGAAATTGTGTTTATTTATTAATTTCTGTGTGACATTTATCCTGTGGCAACAATGTTGTTTGCCAAGTCAAGCATGGTGGCATCTGCTAATGGTCTCTTAATAACATGCTATGGTACCACCTCACCTTTAGCCAGGATGCCAGAGAAGTGACCATGTGGTCACCAGGCTTCTATTCAAAATCCTGTCACAGGAAAAAAAGAACTTAAAAGGATTTCCACATTTGCTTTTAGGAGATGAAAGAATTGAATTTTGGTGCCTTCCATTTCTGTCTTTCAGGGTGGTGGGAGCTGGAGGGCAAAAGGAGGGTTGGTGGGAAAGGCAGCAGCTGCAATTGTAAAGAATCAATAAGATTTGGTTCCAGGCCATGGGGATGTCCTGCAGGCAGCTTCTGGGGAGTCAAACTCCCAGTTCCAGTCAGATTTATTCTTTAGTGTAAGGTACTTACAAACCTGCCATTTCCATGTTTGGGAAAACTAACCAGCTACTTAGTAAGTAGAAACATAGAGAGGGGTGATTCTCCTGGGGAAGAACCCCCTAATTGTGTAAGCTGTACCCAGCAAACATAGGGAGCAAGAGTGACAGGAAGCTGGCCACTGTTCTGGGAATGGAGCTGTGGTCCCATCTCCCCCACCTGCACAGATGCCTCCAAGCTTCACTTCCACTGAGGCATGGCTCCTTCGTCCTAGGCTGAGCTCAGAACTGTGGAAGGAAGTGTTACCCAGAAAGACTTGGAAGCAAAGGTATTCAGAAAGCTGTACACTCTTTCCATAAAAAGTTCCTAGTTCCTGAAAGACACTCAGCGAAGCTTATCTTTTAAAAATTTATTCAGAAATGTTGCAGCAACAGCAGAAACTAAGTAGCTTGGTGTAGGCGTTCTGAGGTTTTGAGCAAGTGTTAAATTAACTATCTCAGCAGAGTTGGCTCCTGAATAAACCAGTTCTGGAAGGAGACAGAATGGGGAGTGGAGCTGACAGGTAGGATTGACTGACAGCTATCTGCTCTGGCTGACAGCTCTTCCTTGTCTGAGTGCAGAAGGAGAAGCTCTGGGTGTGACAGCACCTTCTTCCTGGGTTCTGAAGCTGGTTCTTAGCCTGAGTCTTCCTGCCTGCTCTTCTAAATGGTATCAGTACATGAACGTGGGCTTATTGTGGTGAGGCCTCCTTTGAGTTTCCAACCAGTAACTTCGGTTTGAGAATTGAATCAGAGTCACTGGGTCTTGAACTTTAAAAGGCTATAAGTTGATTTCTTCATTCATTACCAGCTTAGCCCTTGTAAAGGTGAGAATTTCTATAGCTGTTGCTGTTTTAAAAGTCAGTGCTTAGTTTGTTTGTTTTTTTTTAAAGGAAACCTCTAGACCTTGTTGTTTTTTGTCTCATAGTATGAAAATAGGCAACTAAACAAGATTCCAAGAAACCCTTTGGAAAATGGTGGGATCAGCTCTCCATTCCAACTAGATCATGAGTATGCGGTAGCAGGCATTAGTAGTGGCATGAAAAGTCAGTTTTCTCAATCTACTACTACTATCTATCCTATTAATAAGTGGATCCTACTCCCTAACCACTCTTATCACCACTCAAGAATACATTTGACTGGTTCTCCCCTCATGACCCCTTACAATAATATGATTTATCTCCACTCTAGCAGAAACCAATCGAGCCCCCTTCGACCTAACAGAAGGAGAATCAGAACTAGTATCCGGGTTCAACGTGCCTGATTTTAATAAAATCAAGCTTTAAAGAATTTCAAAAAGCAAACTTCCTTTAGATAAGGAGAACCGTGGCATAGCCTTTGAGATGAGTGTGCCTTCTTCAAGAACTTGAGCATGCTAAGAGGGGGTACACACATGGAAATAGGCGGGAACATCATACTCTCACTAAAGTTGTTGTTATGGCCTGTCCCTACACTCTCATAGCCTTCCTAGAGCTGCTGAAGTGGGAACCTAGCCCAAAGGGCATCATGCTGACCCTAGACCTGCCCTGAAAGGGATATAGTTGGAAGGGAGATACCAGTAAGCTTACTGCTTACTACTTACTAAGCAGTAAGTAGCTTACTTACTATTGGACCCATTTACTGCTACTAGGAAGTGAAGGAGAGTTTTAGGAATGACCTTTTCTGGGTTTTCCCTCCCGTTACTGGGAAAGCACATAGGTTGTCTGAACTCAGGTGAACAAAATCATCCCTCGGCAGTTACAGTCACTATGTGCTTACTCGGGGCTCCAGAACCAGTGGCATGGGTCTCTGTCACTGGCTCATCTCACCCGCTGACAATGAATCCCCTCCTGTAATTTTGGGGTACAGATGCACAGGGCACCCATGACACTGGAGTTAGGCCCTGGGTGCACCCTCACCCCAAGGGAGAGAAGGTACAGGATCAATGGGAGCTAACATACTGGACACGGAGCCATCGCTGCCAGACTCCTGGGTTGGAGGTGTTGGATGAGAGCCAGTGCATTTCTCACTAGCCCTTCATTTGAAGTCCACTGAGATGCCTCAATAATGGGGTTGCTGTCTCAGTTCCATAAGAGACTTCTCCACATTTGAAGGCATGAATATGTCAAAGCAGGGATGAGCAGATGAAATTAGCCAAAGCCACAAATACCTCCAGGACTCCTGCTTCTGAGTTGCCAGATTAGAAAGCATGGCTCCTCTTTTTGGAGGTTCCTGTGTGCACTTCATAAATGTGTGTGTAAAGGAAATGAGGAAGCTGTAACTTTAAACAAATATAACTCAACCTGGGAAAATTCCTCTGTCATGTGTGTTTTTAAGACAAATATCTTCATGCTGTTAAGACACTCTTAGGTAGAAAGCAGATCTCTGATTGTATCAGGAGGGGCTGCTTCCCTGTAAGAGGAGCAAGGTCCTGAAGAGATGATGTCATAATTTGTCATGAATCTACTCCTCATGATTGAGCCACACACCTGCAGAATTCCATTGCCCGAATATTACCTCTTAATTGCTTCTGTACCATGAAGCAAAGCAAATGATTCCTTTCAGGGCATAAAGATTATATATGAATGAGTCTCTGCTTTTAAGAGGCATCTTGAGAGTTTTGTTTTCACATTTTGCCCCCTAGATGGCACATTGCAAGTATAAGTTAAATGCATTGTAATTTATTGTGGTTAAAGCACATAAACCTCTATCCCTTTGCCAAAACAATATGGGCAATTATGCAAACAACTCGAGCCAAATAAAAGAGAAAGAGATACACTTTTACCCAAATTAACCAGACCATCAAATCATGGTGAGTTAGTACCTCTCTTGCTCTGATTCCAGTCACATTGTACTTGCATGGTTTAATGAGGTGCCTCATCTGGAAGGTAAAAGGAAGACAAAGCATGAGTGTTGAGGCAATGATGAAGATACAGTGATGTTTTTCTAAATTTTCATCCAGCTCTCAAAGGGACTTTGTTTTGTGATTGTGGATGGGGATATTTGCCAACGGAAAGCTCAAGGGCTATCCAGAATGTCCTGGATGCACCACTTTTACCCATTTTCCATGCATAAAGTTGGTTAGACTTACTTGTTTAGTGAGAATGACACAATTTATTTGCATCGCTCTTCATACACAAAACAGCATCCACAGAATCATGTTATGTAGGGTTTTGGAGGGGGGCAGCAGTGGTTTTCTCTCATCCAGATGCCAAACAATCATGAACCTCACCCATAGTAAACATTAATAAGTAGGACCATCCTTTTCATTTTATTTAGATACTGAAATTAGGGAGTGAGACATATGTGTTTTTGCTACAAATATGTACCATTAATGTAAATACATGGCAATATACAAACACATATGGAAATATCTAATATGAAAAACCAAAGCTGCCTTCTCCTTTACTTGTTCACCTTAAGCTGAGATCTAGGTTCCCTTTCTTCCTGTACCTCTGATGCTCTGGAGACAGCTGTTCCTGCTGAATTGGATATTTGTTTTTGAGCAGGGTCAAAGGCCTCCGCAGCTGTTCCTGGCCCAATCCCTTACCTGAACCTCAGGCTTGGTAGGCACAGATTTATGGCTTGAAGTCAGACAGCTCTACTCTCTGCTGGTCCTCCAGCCACCTGTTCTCATGCACGGTGTGCTTACCCATTTTAACTCACTTCAACTTCTTGTACTGACATCCCAGGGTTGGCTCTTCTGATTTTTCATGCAGTATCGGTATACCTTGATGATCTTTTATCTCTTTTTTTTCTCACCTTCATTTTTCTTTCCTCAGCAGCTCCTGCTAGCTTTTCCACCCTTGTTCCATTGCCTCATCCAGATAGTGAGTATCATTTTCTTCATCCATCTCTCTGCAGGTTGCTTTCCACCAGCCACAGTGGGTCTGTCTAATGTTATCTCCTTCACCAGGTGATAACTCAACTCTGTTGGCAGAAAGCAGTGCCAGGTTGTAGAGGAGCAAATGAGGAGAGAAATAGGCAGAGAGCATCTCAGATTCATTGGAGGCAGCACTCCCCCAAAGAGGAAGCAAGCAAAAAGCATGGTTCTGGACAGGAATTTTTGCAGACAGGCTCCCGAGGCTGTTGCTGCCCACCCCCAAGGCTAGGATTCTTAGTGAGCCAGACCAAAGCTGATATTTGGAGAAGCCAAAGGAATTTGCCCAGAAAAAAATCTCTATTCTGCAGGGCCATAAGAAATGCTTTGGGGTGTTGTGTTTTCATTCTCATTTTAATTGGCACAGTTGGATTCAAACATTGAAATTAGAAAGCGAAGCCTATGGCTTTTGCTTTTTTCATAAACGCATACATTTCTTGTAAATATTTGTGGGAAAATAAACAGTGTCTGCTTGCAGATGTGCCTGGCAGTAGGCGCCTTGGGAAATTATTTAACCCTTCACGAGTGAGCTTTCTTTTTCTCCTCTGTAAAATAGAATAAGCACTTGCCCTCTCCCTGTCTGCCCTCTCACAAAAACCCAGCACACATCATAGTGTTCTTCAAGCTGTGTTTGCCTACCTGGGAGCTGCCCACTATGCCCTACAGTGATGCCACCTGGTCACTCCCAGTCTTTGCCATCCTGACTGAGCCTCGCTCAGTCACAATCTTACTTCATTTGACTGCCCTGTCCTTTTGTTCCCCTGTCTCCTCTGGAGTAGAAAGAGCTCCAGGCCAGCCATGGAGTTCTGAACCTGTCTTTCTGGGGGGAAAGGGAAAAGTGAGACAGCAGCTATGTGAGTCCCAGGGTCTCATGCCAACTTGTACCCAAAGCAGCAGACAGGCTGCAGGCAAGGCTATCCTGCCTGGCTGGCTATGTTCTCCTTAGTACATTCGAAGTCCCTGCACTTTGGGCACAGCCACAAGAGGTGACTGAAGACACAAGCTCAGGAGCCTCCTCTTGCATCTGTTTGACTCAGAAATGGGCCCACCATCCCATGTGGTGCTTTCCAAGCTGTCTCAACTGTAGCAACAGGGGTTTAGACTTGGGAGCCAAAAAGAACTCTGGGTTCAAATCCCAGCTCTGCTCCCTCTGCATACAGCTCCATGATCTTGAATGAGTTACTCAACCTCAAATGAAGGATAGAGTCTACCTACCTTACAGGTATTTGTGAAAACTAAAGATCAGGTATAAAAAATGCAAAACACAGTGCCTGGTATGTAATGGATGGAATTCATGGTAAGAATAAATGAGGGTTATGTTATTTCTAAATGTGACAGTAATTTGCAAAATCTCCGATAACCTCTTTAAAATATTTATATTCAAATTGATAAATCAGGGAAGAAAGGAGTAAGAGAATATTTCCTTCACCATCTCTGTCTTTCCTTAAAAACGATGTCTTAAATATATATATACACACACACATTTATGAATTTATCTCCATTCCCTCCTTCACCTTTCTGTGCCCTTTCTGTTCTTCATGTTTCCATAGCAACCTGGCCTCTTTCTGCCCTTACAACCACAGAACCATCTAGTGAGTACAGAGCTGAGCTGCCTCTGGCCAGATTGCTGCATGTTGCAGATCTAACTTGTGGGTCACAGCACCGCCCGTGGTTTTTGTTGTATTAAAGCAACAGTTGTGAATGCATGGTGGCTCCTCACCTAGTGTGGTTTTCTAAGCATGCTGTGTGCGTGACCAAGAGAGCACACCCAGGATCACTCAAAGAACTGGGTGACTATTTAAAGAATACTCTGTGCATGAGGATACTTTCCCAGATTTACCCTCAAGTTAAAATTTAGAAAAGGGAAATGCTGATGAGACAAAAGAACAGCATCTCTTCCCAGCTTTTATTGTCCCTCCCCCCTGAAATGCATGCACATACACCCACACACAGACAGTCATATAGAAGTAGCTAAAAGACACACAACGAGGGAAGGAATAGGAGAAAATGGCTATTTGGGGAAAGGTAGAGGCTGAAGCAAAGAAGGAAGGAATGGCTGCATCCTGACAGCCTGCCCTTCTTTGTCTTGCACAGTCAAGGAGCTGTGTACACAGATCACAAGTGGGAAGGAGGCACCTCCATCCCCTTGCAGGCCTCCTCAGTGCAAGAAAAATCATGGCCCAAAAGCATAACAAGGCTTGCTGGAGTTTGTGTGCGGAGAATCCAGATGAAAGTTCTGGAATTCATCTCCTGATGATAGAGTCAGGGCCAGACTGTATCATCTTCTCCATCATGGAAAACATTACACTTCATCACAACCATAACATGCTCCAAAGCTAGTCTTTATAATGCTCTAATGAAGTGAGCTTGTGGTTTAGGCTTCAAATCCCCTGATAAAACAGCTGGAGCTGTGTGTGTGTGTGTGTGTGTGTGTGTGTGTGTTTGTGTGTGTGTGTGTGTGTCCTCTGCTGTGTGAGAGTTTTAGATTTTATAATATTTTTGAGTGCACTGAAAAAATGGCATGCATCCCACTGGGCAAGACAGGTCAGAGTGCACGGGCAGACAACAGGTATGCACAGTACAGCCCCCACTCTCTGGGCCAGAGTTTCCAATACAAAGTCGAACAGAGAGGAAAAGAGTGTCCTGGTTCTGTGTGTTGCATGAAATGGTTCTCTTTTCTACTGCAACACACAGATAAGGGTCTGCTTTCTTGGTGTTTTTTCCATGTGTGCTGTAATGAATTTTAATTCCTGATGTTTCTGAGGTTTCATTTTGCCAGCAGAGCAGAGTGAGTGACAATGAACTGTGCTCACATGGTTTTAATTCAGATGATGGGTTTTTTGCATTTGGAAAAGGAATGCAACTAACAGCACCATTTCTCCTCCTAACAACGATGTCCCTGTCCTTTCTAGCCCAGGTGCAGCGCCTGTGCCTGGCACAGCAGGAGAAGGCTGCATAATGCATTTGCACAACTCACGTCACATCTAAGGTGTCTCACCATAGTGGCCTTCTCTGGAAGTAAAATACAATCTTGGATCCAGATTTTTCCTTAAGGAAGAATAAGGTGTTTGTCCCCAACATAGATTTAATTTGTAAACATCAGGCATTTCTGCCCACAGATAAAGTGCTTAGTAGTGACATCCAAAGAGAAGAAAGTCTGAATCTTTTATTTTGAACCACTTGACTACTGACCCAAATTGTAGGTCCCAGTGGATAGTGAGATAAAGGAAATACAGTCACAATTGGACAGCAGCCTGTTTTTAGCATGAACGTATTCCTCACTAGTGAGGCAAAATGTAGCACAGGTGAATTGCAGTGGAACTAATAGCACAGCAGTTAGAAGCATACAAAAATCCATCAATCAGCAGTCAGTCAGTGTGCTTGAAAATAAATGTCTCCTATTTTCACAAGTGTGTGTGTGTTGATCTATTTGTAATTACAAATGCATGAAGGTATTCTAAATAAAGTCTAAGGATGAACTTCTCAGTTGTATAAATTCCTGCAGGGCACCGGTGGTTGGAATGTGCCAGAACCTGTGCGTCGTCAGACAATAAGAAGCACACGTGACCTCACTGCACAGTGGCAAGGGGATCTGTAGCTTGGTTGAAGCACTTCTTTTGAATTACTTTTAAACAGTGGTGTTCTTTGGGCAGAGGGGTATCTCCACTTCCCTTCTTTGCCCTTCTTCTCTCAGCTTCAATTGGCAGTAGCCAAATCTTCCCTTGGCCTATGAAAGTTGAGGTGGGAAACCCAAAATGCCTCTGACAAAGCAAGGTCATCCATGTCATATTTAAGTAACAAATTGGGATGTAAACACAACATAAGACAAAAAGGAATGTTGACAAATCCCAACAAGAAAACTATTTTTTTATTGTAAACATCAAAACATGTCTTAGCAATGCAGTCACAATTCTAAAGACATAACTGTACCCACAAATGCCCAAGCATTTATTTAATCAAACTCTTAGCCCCTTTGGTCAGAGGTTTAGTTTCTCTTGTTCACCACTGACAGAGCTTTTGTCTCAGCCACCAAAAGGAAACCTATTCCCTTTCTGCACCAACCTCTTCCTTTATGTGTCTCAACCCAGCACCTCCTCCAGACCTCTGGGATAGCATCAGTAGATGAGTAGGGAAGTGAGAAAAGATCCTCAGGGCCACCTTCTCTGGCTTGTATTCACCGAGTCTCATTCAGCCTGTGCCCCCTCTCCTCGTTGCACCAAAGGAAAGACGAAATGACTTTTCTTCATGTGATGTCATATCCTGTTCTTACAGAGCACACAGTCTGCGCCTTAGAGATCATGGGACTCTCCCCTCATGACCCATGTTGTTTCATTACCCTTGTTTCCCAAGGATGCTGAGATACTTCTGGAATCTGAATAATAACTTGCTTTTTTCTTTTCCTTCAACAGTCTCCTGGATGGACTTTGACTTCTGGGTCCTGACAAAAACACCTCCCTATTTTAAAACAAGTTCTCATGCTCCCTGATGTGTTATTAATATGCAGTGTTTTAGCTGTATCTAATGCTTCTTGGTGTTAACCAAATGCTCTTTATGATTTATTATCCTCCTATTCCTGGGCGGTTTTACTGTCTTCCCAATGTTTTCTATATATGCTGCTAATTTAATTTGATTTCTCCTTTTATTTAGTCTGTGATTTTGTTGTTGATTTTTCTCCCTGCCCATTGTTTACATCAGTTTTTAATTTTTTTGTATTTTCCATGTGACCTTCTCCACTTTCCTTTCAACCAATCATGTGCGTGCGTATCATGTGACTTTGTCATGTGGCTTGCATGGTGCTGATGATGTCGTCCACGCTGGTGAACAGAAGGTAAAACTCTTTGTTCTGATAAGTGAAATAAATCTGGGACCACAACCTGGCACCTAGGGCCCACTCATTTCTTCCTGTCTTGGATTTCCTAAGCCAAGCCATTTGGGAGAGTTCCTCTTGTTCTCAAGTCATGTGCAGAATTCATTATTCTTTGCGGCCTTAACATGACACTTTGATACCATGACAGCCTTTGGTTTAATATTTTGCTTTAAGAAATGTGGCCATGCAAATTGCTACCAACAGTAAAACCACTTAGCCACAGCACAGTTTGCAAACTTGAATTTTTACCAGGTAATTCATGAAAATTATTTCCCAGAAAAGAGTTTTGTAAACTAGCTTTATAACATTGTTGTTTAACTGTATCCGGCAGTTCTAAAAACCACCATCGCTCTAAAATGTGTTGTATTTCCATGAAAATGTGAAAATGTATCTGTTCACGGCATCAAAGCACAACAGTGAGAAATGTTTCAATTGCACAGGTCATATTTGGTCAAAACCAATGAGAGTGCTTCATTAAATTCATGCTGGTTGAGGATTTTCTGAAATGAGGGACTTAAGAATTTTGAATTAGAGCAGTTTGGCTATGATTTCTGAGGTGTCACTTTTCAAGAGTGACCCCCTCCCGGGCAGGGGAGGAAATCAAATGTCACCTGGTAATTACCATGACAGGAGATCTCCCTGTCACCAAGAAGCACGTGATTGACCCTTGCAGCAAAGGAGATAAAATTATAGCCTAATTAAGTGCCTAGCAGTCACAAAATAATTAGTTAATATTTTGACTGTCACAACCTTTTGAAAATATTCCATGCTTACCATAAAGAGAAAAGGAAGCCTGTACTCACAGCTTTCTCCAATAAAAGCAAACACCTATTCAAAACCTGCCCTGGGAGTCATATGCGTTCTGTTCTCTTCTAACTGAAAATTTTTACTTCAAATTACAACCTGAGACACACACAGGCTGCATTGATCACAACAGCAAAACTAACACCAATAACCGCCCAGTGTGCCCCTGCATGCAAGGGGTCCCCCATTTGACCTCACTTCTCTGAAAACTGATTGGGCGACATCCACAGGAACAAAACCACTGACTGCTTGTCTCGCATGTTCTTTGTTCCCGGTCTGTCCTTCCGTTGCGTGCTCCCCACATGTGTGAGCCTGTGCGTGTTCCCTCCTGTTCACCCTCCACACTGACCACCTCTGAGGACTCTGGCACTCTAGGTATGGCCACTGTGTCCCGATTTAGTCCCATTTACACCCAGACTCCTAGAAAGAGGTCTTGATCAGAACTGTCCTTATTTCCAAAAAGGAGATATTTGATATTTACATTGTATGAAATTAAGAATGTACCCAAAGCAGGAAGATAGCTCATCATATATTTGACCTACTTTTAAAGGTATCCTAATCTGTGAGTCTTAGGGCAGTGAATGTTGGAAGCCTATGCTTTTCTTAACACAGATGCCACCCCAGATGCTGTGGTGACTGCTCAGAGGCTGATGTGCTGAGACAAAGCCTGGACCTTCCCCTAAAATCTTAAGTGTAAGGAGATGTTGGGCTGAAACCCATTAGTTTCTCTTTTAAAAACAAGTTTGGTCATTTCTGTGTGATGCCATAATTCAGAATGAAACAAAGCACAGTGTTGACAAGGTAGAAACTAATTCATAACTCTGAGGAGAAGTCTCTGCCAGGCTCTTTAAGCAAAAGAAGATATGTTTGAAGATGTTTCCTGCAGTTGCCCTGGGAACACACCTTAGCAGAGGTCTTAGCTGTCAGTAAAAAATGTTGCCAGTACTAAAAGTTCACTGAGAACCTGCAGGACTCCAAAGCATGATTACCCCTCACCAAACCACATCCCTGGCTGTGACAGACCCTCTTTTGCCAGTTTCAAAGGGACAGGCGGAAGACTGTTGTTCAGATGAGCGGCAAGCAGCAGGAAATGGTTTTTAATAATAAAAACTTAAGGGAATGGAGAAATCAGAGTAAATAAAATTTACGGGGGAAAGAAAGAAAGCTTAGATAAAGGCAAATATTTTCTCCCTTCTCTGGGTATTAGTAAGGGTTTAAGGCTAGTGGGACCTAAATGAGGAAGGTTTAATTGAGTGGGCAGTCTTTCTCCTGGCGGTGGGTTGCACACCCAACAACTGATGAAATCCAATGTTCCCTGTTCACCACGCCTCCCCAAAAACTGCATGGGGTGCACTTAACATGTGCTGGATGATCCATGACCCTAGGTTCCCAACCAAAGTGTTCACTGAGCCCAGCAGCACTGAGTTAGAAGGCAGGTGACAACCGGTGTGGCACCATGCCCCAGAGTCACTTGGCCTCCAAGCCTCCAGAGCTTTGCACGTAGGGCTCATGACAGGGAAACTTTGGCACCTGTCCAGAGAGCCCAGGTGTGGGTTTGCTGTGGCGCGCTACCATGTCCCTGATATGCAGAAGTTCATTTCTACTACAGCATGTGTAACTGCAGTGCCTGCTTCCTCCACTGACTCTATCAGTGGCTGAGGAATCTGTAAATGGGACCCCCTCCCCAACCAGCACGTGTGTGATGAGGAGCCCTGCACCCCTCAGTCAGTGTGCTGCATGTTGGAGCATGGACCCCTCCCCACTCGTCATAATGATCTTTTTTTTATTTAGCTACTGACACTGACTTGTACTAGGACATGCTGAATCTGATGAACTAAACTCTTAACACCCACTCTTCCTTCTCAGATTGAAACATCACTAACCACCCCTTCCACTCCCTCCTTTATTTTTTACAGCTGTGTGTCTGGATTGCCCCGGTCTCTGGCAGATCGACATAGACTTTTCACCAGGGGTCTGCCCTCCTTGCCTTTATTCTTAATGATTGCCTGCATGGGTGGTTACCAGGGTAGAGCATTAGCATAAGGCGCCTGAACAGCAAGGCAATGACACGTATCAGCCCAAATCCTCTAGGCAGGGTCCAAGCTATGGAAAGTGCCCACATTCCCAGGGTTTATTAGCATGAGGTGCCCACGCCCCCCGGGAGGCTCATCCTTAATAAGTCATCTAATGTCCATAAGATAGTGTTGAGTGTGTGCACACAGCCCCACCCCCTGTGGCCTGGGAAGCGGGGGCCAAGCTAATTGTTGGTGATAGCAGTTACTTCTATCAGAACTTTCTCAGCCTGGATGAGCCCTATAACCACAGGCCATACTCATGGTTGGATTTTCTTTCTCCGATGATGAAACAAAGATAATTGATCAATTAATCTGTTGGTGTTTTTATGACAACCGTGAGAAGGGAACTGGTATTTTTGTGGTCTGGTCCATCAGAGTTCATTTGTTATTGGTTAATTTGTGTTTGGTGCCGCCATTCTGCTCCCCACCCCTCCCCCAGCACACATGCTCACATCCATAACTCCTGAGAAAACTAGGCTGGAAGGGATTGGTGAACTAGTTACCTCCATGAGCTTGGCCACAGAGAGCTAAGCATCCTTTCTCTGCAAAAGCTGGCACTGGCCCTGCCCACAGCCACTCATTCTGTACCCTAGTCTTCCCTGAAGCCAGACACCCAGACAGCAGAGAGTCAGGTTACACTAGCACAAGAAGACCCTTAACAATGAAGAGAAAAGAGCTCAGAAGAGTTATTGGTTGAGTGTACTTGACTCCTAAGACTTGACTTGGGGAAGCAATGCTTAAGACAATTGATTCCCATGTGTGCACTGTCAGCTGCTCTTTGGGACTGTCAGAAAGTTCCCCTAGAATAGGCAGGTGGGTGTGAAAAGGGGCATCAGAAGAGTTGGAGAGTCCAAGAGCATAGGGAGCATAGATCACACTAGGTTCCCTTGTTTGACATCTAGGGCAAAGTGCCGGTTCCGGAAGGTTAGTGGTCTAATAACTCTAAATTCTAATCCCATACATAATTTGCTGATACCCTGAGGACAAGTCAAACTTCTAACCTCTTGATGTAATTATAAATGTTCCTGAATTGGGAAAATCAAATTTGCTTCATATTTGAACAGCTAAATCATACATTTTGGACTTTTTAAAACAATAAAAGACTATACACAAGTTTCAAATCACTTGTAAGAAATAATGAACAAGAGGGAATAGGAGTTAGAATAAACAAAAGGAACAGTAATTTTAATGCCAGACAATCCTATTTGATAGAAAGAGAAAAAGATTCTAATGCAGCCCCTACATCCATCATCGATTTATTCCCAGATGCCCCAAACTGGAAGAGAGAGCAAAGTGGATGAAGGCAGATCTAGGTTGGCCCATCCTTTCTCCCGAGAGCCTGGTGGCACCTTAGGGTTTCACTCAGAAGATACAACTCCTGGTACTTGAGCTTGTTTCAGTAAGAAGTAGTTACTGTTTTCCTGCTAAAATTCACAAATGCCCTGGGATTGCTCCAGTTTCTGTTGTGGAATTCAGATACCCAGCAGTAGTTTTCTGACCTGAGAACTTCTGCTGATGAGGGGAAGGACATGAAACAGACTCCAATTTTAGGGCATAGTAACACAATAATTACAAAGAAGAACCACGCATTTCTGCATGGCCAGGGATACACACTTCAAGTACAGTTTCTAAGGGGAATTCAGAGGACCTGCCTGTAATATTTCTGACTATATGTAGTCTCTATGCTACATTCTTTTTTTCTTGCATACATGATTCACATCCTTCTAGAAAATACCAGAACTGCTTAATATTTCATATTTGTTATTGGCAATGTTTATTTTTAAGGTACTGCTGTTGTAATTTTTACATAAAATATTTAGGGGAAAATATGACTGATGGCTGAAGCTGAACTCAGAGGGTGTGATTAACCCCAGGGGTTTTCCTGGGGCAACCTGCCTATTGCTGCTGAATTGCAAATCAGCATTTACAAATAATTACAATATTGGTTTTGCTGCAATTACCCATAATGATTTCAGTCAGAGCAGCCATCTCAGAACAGAGTGCACACTGGGGCCCTCGGAATAGCCTCCTCTGCGGGTGTGCGCTGGATGGCACCGAGCCTCCTGAATGCCGCAGCCCCCCATACCCGTCCTCATCGGGCATGACTGGAGACTCCTCGTTGCAGAGAGCTCAGGAGATAGTTTCTTTACTCCTTATCTAATCTTTAAAAAATGGCTGGCAGTAAACATTTGAAGATGCATAAGACAATTGATTAAATAAATATTTTTTCCGTGTCTTTATGTGCTTACTTAAGTTACATAGCCACAAAGTTGGTCAGAATCCCTATGAGTTAGTTGACTATGTGCTTCCTTTAGAAATATTGTCATAGGAAGTGTTATGTTTCTTTTTATACAAGGGCCCCTACCCAGTTTTAAAAATTGATTTTCGCCCTGGCTGGCATAGCTCAGTGGATTGAGCACGGGCTGCGAACCAGGCATCGCAGGTTCAGTTCCCAGTCAGGGCACATGCCTAGGTTGCAGGCCATGGCCCCCAGCAACCACACATTGATGTTTCTCTCTCTCTCTCTCTCTCTCTCTCTGTCTCTCTCTCTCTCTCTCTCCCCCCCTTCCCTCTCTAAAAATAAAATAAAATTTTTTAAAAAAATTGATTTTAACTCAGTTTTTTCATTTGGCAAACAAAACCTTGTCTTATTGACCTTTAAAACTCCAAAACCGAATAGCCTACCTAGTACCTAGTAGGTACTCAATATGCAGTTGTTGAATAATTCATATTTAAATCACTCTGAATGACATGCCTGAATAATATGATATAAAAACTCTAAATTGTGTAAGAAAGTAATAGATATCAGAGTAACATCGTTGTCACTCAAATAAAATGATAGCAAATTAGAGTATTCTAACTTTGGTCAATGTTACAACTATGTTCTAACTGTGGTATTGTTTCTAGTGGTTTCTCTGGAATCACAGAGATTCCAGAAAAATCATGTATTCATGTATTTGTAGAGACTTGGGGTCCCTTTCCAAAAATAAGACTTTTTGTGATAACTAAGCTTCTTAAAACAATTTTGTTTAATAAAAGGACAACTCTGTGCCTTAGACACATAAAATTGTTGGTTTTGGAGTTCATTTCCCTAAAAGGGCATGAGTGTTATATATTTTGTGTTCTTTTACAGTGTTATAAAAATAGCTATGGCGATCCTGATAGTCCATCCTGGGGCAGTGACCAGTTCAAGGCAACAGATGCCCTAGGCTCCACTGTGGCTCCCTTAGCATTCAGGGTAAAGCGATCTTCACAAGTATCAGAGAAAGCGCCTCTTCCAAATCTATGCTCCCCTGAAGCAGGTTCCCGTGTTAGGCAGTGTTCACTCAGCCAGGAACCCACACTGCTCAATCCGAGAGGAAATAGTGAGGACGGTGCCAGCACAGCAGCACCGTTTGATTAATCCCTGTTTCTCTTCCAGGGCAGGAAAGGCTGGGGAAGGGCTAGTCCTTGGCTCGTGCATGTGTCGCAAGGACCACTCCTTCCCTCCTTCCCTCCTTCTTAAGGCAAATAGATCATTCATCACAATGTCAGTGCTGGGATCTGAAATTGTGATGGTGAGTGTCCATCCCCATTCAGGCTCAGGTCCCCAACCACCCTGGTCTGCCTGGGCCTAGGACATGGTATGCTCACACCTGGAAGGTCCCAGCTAACCAGGGTGAGTTGGTCACCCTAATTCAGTCAGAGAATAGAATCTGTAAAGTTCTACTGCTTCTCCTATCTCCATTTGTTCAGCATTGATGAGTTATGCAGACCTGGCCTACTCTGAAACTCCATTTGGTGTTTCTCCTTAGCACTGGACATTTATGGTGATATAAGACCTAACTGAGTTATTGTCTGACATTTAAACAGTCCAAAAGAGTTTGAAAAGTGCACATGCCTTGGCACTATGAACCAAATTTCTAAATATCTTCCAGTTGGACCAGTGGCTACATAGTGGCATAAAAACAAGGCAAGTCTTTGCCTGAAGCCCTTTTATCTTTTTATTCTTGGTTTTTCTTTTGCCTTAATTACTGGTTACAGGAAAAAAAAAACAACGTTGAGGTTATGCATCTTCACTGTTGTTGCGTTTATTTGTGCTCATTACTGCTACTTCTCAAGCCTAAATGTGCACACTGATTACCATGGGATCTTGTTAAGGTAAGAGTCTGCATTTCTAACAGGCTCCCAGGTGATGCACTGGCTGTGGACCCAGGCTGAGTGTCAGGGCTCTCCATTAGCTTTCTCTCTGGTTTTTCTCTGTCTTAAAGGAAGAGCAGGACACAGGGCCATTTTGAGGTTCCCACAGTAGCTGACGAGGAGAGTAGGCTGCACTGGCCCTGCCAGCTGCCTTCTCATAAGTGCCCAAAGGTACACTTTTGTCTAAAACCTAATGACAAGTCTTTTCTGGCTGTTGTCACATGTCTGTGATTCTGTGTTCCAGAGTATGAGCCAGGACAACCCACCTAGCAAGTGATGGTTAATAGGTTCTCCTGAATGTTCTATCTGAGGCCACAAAATCAATTCACAGATGGCTCCCACAGGAAGTACAGGGCTCCCAAGTGCATTAAATCTTCATTGTAACTTTTTTGTATCAGATGTTTTCTCACCCCATTGCTTCCTGCATATACTAATGAAATAGCTTCTCTAAAAATAAATCGGCTTCTTACTCTGAAGAGCCATCCCAGCCCTAGTAGTCTGACACATACAAGCTCATCTTCCCTCTCAATCTTGGACTCAGAGCACCACAAGCTAAGCACATACCGCCAGGAAAGGGAAACAGCAACTTTTTCTGCTGGGAAATGCTGAAGACACTTTTTCTCTCCCTCTCCTCACTAAGAAAAAGACTTTAATGATTGTTACCTTAATACAAGGTGTCAGGGATCATCTCTTAGTCTGTTGAGCCCTAAGTGCAGGGTGCTTATAAGAAGCTTGCCTGTGGCAAATTGTGCTTTATTTAATTACAGCCAGAAACTAAAATTATTTTTAATGAACCTAAGTTTTACCGCTTAGATATCCAGGGGAGAAACTGGATATCTAAGTTTCCTGTGCTTTGAAAGATTATTGTATGCATGTAAGTTTTCTTCTTAACTGCTTCCATTTTCCCATATTTCAGGCTATTTCTCAAAATATCAAGTTTATAAAAGTTAAATCTTCAGTTGTAAGAGCAGAGCAACTCAAAGAAAATGCAAGCACCAGTGAGAGACAGGAGAAAAAGCAGCCTATTTCTAGAATGGTGAAAGGAGTACACTTCCAGGGAGGGTGTTTCCCCAAACATTCCCAAAATGTGTTAAGTTTAGGCTCAGTTTGAGGCATGTGACCAGGACCCAGAGTTTTCTACTTACTGCTTTTTAACCATTTGAATTTCTGAGGTAGCAAAAGACTCCAGCCCCACTCCATCACTACATCCCACTCTGATGGACTGGATTCTCATTTTGTGGAGGAAAATGTCATTTGAATGAACTGGCTGTTTCAGGGGAACCCAGTGCTCCTAAGCTCGAAGGGCAGATGGGAGAGGATGGCAACTCCATTAAGGTGAACCTGATCAAGCAGGACGACGGTGGCTCCCCCATCAGGCACTACCTGGTCAAGTACCGAACGGTGAGTGCCTCCTTCCCCCATGGTCACCCCTGCCTCTGCACCCCCAACGCCCACCTTGTTGGGGCAACAACACACAAAGCCCAGGCCTCGGGCAGGGGTGGGGGTGCTGTCACTCTGTGCCTTGGGCCTTGGTCAGGGTTTTAAATCTCCACACTAATGCACAGCTTTTAGTTCACGACCACACTGGGTCCATTTAAAAACCTCTGCCGGCTTCTTTTTGGCCGGAACTGCCATCTTCCAGTAATTCGCCAAAATGACTAACACAAAGGGAAAGAGGAGAGGTACCCGTTACATGTTCTCTAGGCCTTTTAGAAAACATAGACTTCTTTCTTTGGCTACATACATGCGGATCTACAAGAAAGGTGACATTGTAGATATCAAGGGAATGGGCACTGTTCAGAAAGGAATGCCCCACAAATGTTACCATGGCAAAACTGGAAGAGTCTACAATGTCATCCAGCATGCAGTGGGCATTGCTGTAAACAAACAAGTTAAGGGCAAGATTCTTGCCAAGAGAATTAATGTACGAATTGAGCATTTTAAGCACTCGAAGAGTCGAGATAGCTTCCCAAAACGTGTGAAGGAAAATGATCAGAAAAAGAGGAAGCCAAAGAGAAAGGTACCTGGGTTCAGCTGAAGTGTCAGCCTGCTCCACCCAGAGAAGCACACTTTGTGAGAGACAATGGAAAGGGGCCTGAGCTGTTGGAACCCATTCCCTATGAATTCATAGCATGATAAGTGTGGAAAAAAATAAAAGACTTCTATACTGAAAAAAAAAACAAAAAACCCTCTGCTGACAAACTCATGCCATGACTGATTTTTCTGCTTTTTGAACTCTCGTAGAAAGTTATTTTGCCATTACCGAGCACTTTTTGCAAATAACATACTGATACCTAATAATCGCTACCTTACAGGCAAGGTACTATGATTACAAGCATTTTCTCTCCACAACACTCCTATGAAGGAGGTCTTTGCCACTTTACAAAGGAAGGAAGGGCCTTATGGCAGCCAGTAAGTGCCTGATCTCACACAGCTGGGCCAGCCGGGGGTGGGGGTGGGAATCCAGGTCTGTCTGATTGAAGAGACTGGCTTGTTCCCTCACCTGCTCTTTACCCCCACCTGAGCTGTTCTAATCTTGCTAACAATGAACTTGGCCCTAAGCCTTTTCTTCCTGATTGGCTCACCACCCATTTAAGATTGCTATCCTTACACCTTTTATCCCCAACCCCCAACTGAAAATTACACTCTCCCTTTTTGTTTTTAGAATGATACTTGACCATGGCCAACCACAACCAATTGCTGAGAGATTTAGAGGCAGTGTCTGAGCACTGGAAATAGTCTATGGCTAGGGTATTTTGCCAGTAGGAAACAATGAACCACAGAGCAGTTGTCTTTCTTCAAACAACCCCCTAGAAAGGCATTTTCCAGGAAGTTGACTCATTCCCCCTATGCCTTTTGATCAGCCCCTGTTGAAGTGAAATGTGAGCCCTTACCTTGTTAGGCTTACAGAAAGTCAGCACAGTACCGATCCCTGTAGGCCACGCTTCTCAGCTGGTGGACAGACCTGTCAATCTGCTCAGCCCTTTCCCACGTAATTGCAGAGCCAGGAGAGAGCTGACATGGGAGGAAGAGCCGCAGCTGACCTCCCTTAGGCCCAGCCCAGAGGCAGCTGTGCCCAAGAGGCTTCCTCACTGTGGAGTAGAAGCCAGGACTGGAAGTGGGCAGCACAGTAGGGTGGGATGCCTCTGCCTGTTGTCACATTGATGTGGCCGGGACAGACAGGGGATCCAGTTCCAGCTTCACCACTTACCAGCGTGTGACCCAAATGTATCACCCAATCTTCCAAAATCTCCATTTCTCCTTTTGTAAAATGGGAACCAAATAGCTTATCAGGTTGTTATAAAGATTAGTTATAAAACATGCCAAGAACCTGAAATGTGCCTGACACTTGGATACTGCACAGTAAACATAGTAATTACTGCTAAGACACTAGCTAGGGCTAGAAATACCTCCCGTAAGTGGCCACTTCAGATGTCAGTTTCCAGAAGAGTCACTGCCAAGTAGGTCTGAGTTAGAAAGATAAGTGAGGTAAACACTGAGATATGTTAGATTTCAACAACCTTGAACTTCCTCTCTCTTCCACTTCAAAAACTCAATGTTTGCCAAATATTATTATTACTATATATTAATATGTATTATATAACATAAGATTGCTTTGTTAAATACTTGCTTTATATTCTGGTTGTCTCTTTTGTAATGATGTTTGTCAAGGAAAAAGCTTTTCAGAGAAATTGGAAAAAGACAGCTAAATTTCTTTGTTTTAAATTGAAAAGGAACCACATGGTGGCATATTCACAAGCTAATGTACAGTATAGTCCCCTTCCTGGCTACACACTGAAGAAGCCAGCATTCCCCACCAACATCTCCCCACAGTGCTCATGGCCATGACATGGCCATGCCACCTGCCTAAAGGCAGGTCTTTCTTTGGCTGATACAAATCATTTTGCCTGGAAAGACAGCTTTGCTCTAAGACAACTCTTCCTCCAGCCTCAGCCATGGACTACACCACATTCTGGGTGACACTGATGGCATGTTCTGCTCTTCCAAGGAGAAGCCCATCATTTAGTAAAAACATTGATCAAAACTTTTTGTGTGCCCAGCCTACACCTCTCCAAAGACTGAAAGGGTCTGAGTGAGCAACTGTGAAACCATCTGAAGACTTCTCAGGAATTCTGCCAACTTCCTTCCACACTGTTGTGTTAGGAGGTGGTCACCTACAGATGGCTTGATGAACTCCCACTCAGAACATGCTCATTGGTGAATGTGTGGGATATAACTGGACAGAGTATTTGGTGAGAAAAAGGGGCACCTATAACTCCAGCTGCAAATTTTTCCCCGTGCAGTTCTCTGCTAAGCTGAATGTACCTTTCTTGTGGGCACTCTAAGTGCCCCAATGTTGGACCTGACAGCAAAATTTACACCTGAGACCTCCAGCTGCAGTTGTAGAGACTAAATTACATTGCATGGAATAGAAAAATCTAATTCAGTTCAACAGATGTTTGTTGAGCTCCCTGCTATGAAAAGGACAGATCCCTGCTTTGGAGGCCACATGCACTTGGCCCCAAACAAGACTGTCTCCCACTTTCCTGTCATCAGGCTTAGTAGGGGCCTGACAAAACCCTTGCAGGCTTGTTGTCAGCTATAATGAGAAAATGTGTGGAAAGCCTTTAATACAGTGCCTGACACATAATAGGTGCTTGATAAATGGTAGTTTTTATTTTTAATAAAACTGGAATCTATGCAGGGTTTCTGTGTCCCGGAGGTGAGTCACACACCTGAGTGTGAGTAACATTCTGAAATCAAACAAGCAACATGTTTGCTTTATTACTTTTCTAGGATGTACTGATACATATGGGCTCGGTATTCCAGAGTGTAGTTTGGGGAATGGGCAAGGCTGGTGCTTGAGTCCCTGCATGCCCTGAAGGTGATGGGGCATGGAAGGGTTGGCCCCATGTCTCACCAGGATCTGCCACTGTTTGTATTTGCAAACATGTAAGGTTAACCCCCTGACCTGCATCATCCTTAGGGCTTTTCAGGCTGGTAAAGAATAAATACCATGTCTTATCATTGGTTTTTATTTTTATTATTTTGCACCAATAGTTACTGACTCCCTTAAGTTCTTCCTGTTGGCTAGTCTTACCAGCATTTTTATCTAAAGTTTCCTTGTGTCTTGTGTCCTTCCTGCCGGTTTTTCCTAGCTTTCCTCTGAATGGAAACCAGAGATCAGGCTCCCATCTGGCAGCGACCACATCATGCTCAAGTCCCTGGACTGGAATGCTGAGTATGAGGTCTACGTGGTGGCGGAGAACCAGCAAGGGAAGTCCAAGGCTGCTCACTTTGTGTTCAGAACCTCGGCCCAGCCCACAGCCATCCCAGGTATGAGTGCCTGGCTTTCTGTGAGTTTCCCGCTTTGAATTAATGCACAAGTGCTGCACCTCCTAATGTGCCTGAACAACCCCTGAAAACTCGCTTGCTTACAGCCATCCTCATGATTGGTTGCCCATGCAAAGCTTAGTTTTGCTTTGTACTTATCTGTGCAGTGGGTTGAGATGTACTGGACTTGCAGGAAGGCTTGGCCAAGCATCCTGGGAAAAGGTCCTGTGTCATTTGGCCTTGAAGGACTGATGCTAAGCTAGTCCTTGAGACCTTCAAATGGGAAAAATCCCAGCTCCAGCCAAGCCTTGGAAGCTGGTTAAGTAAGCTTCCTTTTTGAGACCTTATCTGCCATCGAACTTTTCATGCAAGGACCATATAACTGTTTTTGAGCACTTTCTATCTGATGCTTGCTTACCTGCACAACCATGGTCCAAATCTCTTCTCTTTGGGGATCCCAAGAGAAGGAAGACATGGTGCCTAGTTAGTTAAAAATCTTACCTGCCTGGGTCTCTCAATTGACACAAAGGTTAAATTGAACCACTTGAAACAGAACAAGTGGAAAAAGTAGATACTGGAAAATCCCATCCCTGAAAGACAATCCAGTCTGCTAGAGATCATAATGGGAGCAGGTCTCCTAGGAGAAGCAGGTCCATCTCAGGGATGCAGGACCAATTCAAGTGCAGGAATAAAGTGAGAGTTCTGCTTTCTGGCTCAGCTACCTTGCCAGGTCGCTGATGGCAGGTCACCTCATTGATCAAATCTGCCACAGCAAACAGGGCTCTCCAGCACCACTCTTGCTTTGCCAGACCAGCCAAATGCCCTCCACTAGCAGGAGAGGTGGACACAGGCCATATAGCTGCAGCCTGTTGGAGGGGTGCCATAACCTCTGCCATCTTCCAGTGTGGTAGGAAGAGGCTCTGATCTCCCGGTGGTCTGGGTTTGGCCCCCACCTGCCTGTCCTGTTAGGTGTTCCCCTGGGCTTTCAGCTCAGCTGTCACTATTGTTCCTCCCAGTGGAAGAGAGACCAGAAAGGATGAGGGCTGTCTGCAACAGGGCTGTCTGTGTGAAAGTGGGTTATTCAAGCAGCAATAAAATGAGATTAGTGTGTGATTCCCAATGGTTGGTCGTGCGTGAATGTGTGTGTCAGATGGACATGTGGAGCCTCCAGAAGTTGGCGGGTGGGTCTAAAGCCACATATCAGAGCGTCGATTGGTCCTGCCCTCTGCATTGTCAAGGAGACCCCTTAGCACATGCAGGATGAGCGTGTCACTGCTGGCACAGCTGAGATGGTGAATGTCGAAGGTGAGGCAGTGGGTATGGCTACAGAAATGTTCTCACGACTGCATAATGGGATGCCCAATGGAGGTGGGCACACCAGCCTCTGCCCTTTCTTTCTTGGCCTTCTTTGGTCAGTTTTTTTCTTGAAATCTACAGTCTGGTGTGAGTGTTCAGATCACTTCGGCCTCTGTGGGACACTGAGGAGCTGGGGAAGTAAGAGGCCTGAGTAACCCCTTTGCAGCGAGACAGATTCCCAATGGCATTTGTTTCCAGAGGTGAGATCCCCATCAGCAGGCGGCCTGGACCTGCTGTGTTCACATGCTGGGTTTGGAGGAGTTGGGAGTGTGTGTGTCAGGTACAGAAATCCTGGGAAGACCTTGTGCTCCAGAGTCCTGCCCTCTGGAAATGTCAGAGTCCTTCTAGTTAATCATCAGGAGGCCCATTAACCCAGAGAGGGTTTGAGGGGCTGCCTACCGCACTCAGGGCTCTCCTACAAAGGTCTGAGAGGAGGTGGCTCTGCACTGGGTTGGACTTAGCCAGCCATTGCATTTGGACCTGAGGCTGAAACCTCTGAATTTTATAAGAGGTGCATTCATATGGTCAGCAGGGTGGTAGAAGGTGAGGGGCCCAGAACTAGATTCTCTTTAATAGCACTGTGGGTGGGGGATTGGGCAACAGGAAAAAGAGTTCAATTTATGGTTGTAAAGGTAGCCCCTTCTCCTTATGCACAGTTTGCTATACATGCTGCAGTGATCAAATGCATCTCTGCCGCTACGTGTAAAAAGCTCTCGGGACTAGAAGGCCGGGGGTAGGCTCATTGACTGTATCTAAGAGACCTCACCTTAGTCAAAGTGTAACACTCTCCTAATCAGACTTTTGTATTTTACTATGGAGGCATCTGTTCTCTCACTTTAATTTCATTTGCTCGCTGACCCCTAACCCCTAAATTCACCCTGCTGTGCTGCTTCTGGCCTTGCTGAGCTTCGATCCAGCCTGATGGTAATAATACCGCACTGAACTCTTCTCTAATCTTTGTCAGTTTAATTTACTAAGTTGAATTAACCTTTGATTCTTGCATTTTCTGTATTTGACCTAATTTTTTTCTTTTTATCTATTTTTTTCTCTGTTTCTGTCTCTACCTTCTCTTTTCTCCTCCCCCTCCCCTTCCTGTGTCTGTCGTCACACACATCACCTTGGACGTCACTGGGACATACCCACTGCCACCTTTGTTTTTAAACAACCACATTCTCTTTGGGGACCCATTGCTTGACACCTGCAGCGACTTTGGGAGGCTCCTCTGCATCCTACACTTTTGTCTCATTGCTTTTCTCTGCAGTGACTCTTCTTTTGCTCTGTTAGGAACCTAAGAACACACATTACATTTTCTGAAAAGCCCAGTTCCTATGAGAATAGTCAGTGTCCCCTTTGGAAGAACAGCCACGACACCACGCACTCTACGTGGAAGAGGAAGGTTTGGCAATTGGAGAAGCCGGACCTCCAGACATTTTACCATTTATGTCTATTTTTATGCCACTTCATAAGGAATCACACACATATACACACATACTTTTAGTGGCAGTACAAAATATTTGGGAGCTCTTTTCTTTAAACAGTATATTTTTAAAGCATTATGGTAGGTTTACAAAGACATTTTTGAACATCTGCTATTTACTGCATTTTTTTTATCTTACCTGAAAATGAAGTAGCAGAGGAAGATTTCTGAGTACACCTAAAGCTTGCATAAGTTTGTTAAAATACCCACTTGCCCCCCTTCTAACCCCATGCTCCTCTGCCTCTCAAAACATAGTTGGCTTTGCTTGTACTTCAGTGCCCATAGTAAGGGAGCCAGACCACTGTGAAAATTTTGATGACACAATGGCAAATTAAGTCAACCAGTCGCCCATGCAGCAGAAGAAATTCGATTTGTTGGGTGTTTACTGGGGTTGATCAAACATTCTGGGAGGTGCTGTGGTCCTGGTAGTATAACCAGCACCCTATGTTGGCTCTGTGAACAGAGCGACCCTTTAATGTGTCCAACACTGGTCAGCTTTGCAAGCTTGTGTCTCCCAGACCAGGTGGTAGCTGCCACACAGCTGCAGATCAGCACAGAGCCTCATGTCTTGGGGCTTGTGGTTCAACAGTGACCCCCGCTATCACATGAGTCAATCCCCCTGGTTGCAAGCATCCACTGTGAGCCAGACATGACCGTGCACCCTCCCCATACATGTTCACAGGACAGAAGGGAGGGACAGGCCACTCCCAGACTGCCTGGCCTGAACTGTTAATAAACTGGGACTCAGTCAGCCTGTCATGATTCCCAAATGCACCAAACCCCCCGCTTGTCAGTGGCTTTAGTGACATTTCTAAATCTGGTGAAAGCCAGCTGCACCTCTGTTGATGGGGAGTATACCTCCCCACGTGCCCAGGAGGGCAAGTGGAGGGTGTTTGCAAAAGTCCCACACAGAGACTCAGGGTGAGTCTGCTGCGTAACATCCGTGTGTGCTTGGGAATGGAATTTCTACTGGACAAAAAGTCCGTCCCTCCATTGTGGTCACATATCATTCTACATATCTCATCTCTGAGCACCTCCACAGAAGTCTGATTTTTGTTCTTTTTGGTCTCTTTAATTTTTAGTTCTATTGCTATTTCTTAATGTTCAGAGATGAGGGTTTCCCTTTGGGAATCTAAGTGATCCCATGGTTTCTGGGGCAGAGCTGCCCGAGTCCCTCGTGCTCACAGTTTAGAGACTCAGATGTGGACTGCAGAGGCCAAGTGCTGCCCAGCAGCTCAGGCAGGGTAGTGCCTCTGCCCGGCCTCCACTGCCTCCAGCCCCAACTTGGTCCTCTCGCTCTGGGGTCCCTGCCTCCTCACACCAGGCTGCAGAAGCAGCGGGGTTCTTAGGCCCGAGGCAGAGCACTGAGCAGAGGCAGGTGGTGCCTCCAGGCCTGCGGCGGGAATCCCAGGTCCGTTAGCAAGAGCTGGAGAGAGGGTAAGGGGGGAAGAGATCAGTCCTCCTGCAGGTGACCTGTCACTGTCCTTCTGGCTCCCAGCATGCTCTTGATATCATCTTGGGCAGGAGTCATCCAGGAGCACCCACCTCAGGGGTTTGCCCCACCCACAGGTGAGGGACAGCATCAGTGTTTTTGAAGGAACTCCTTGGAGATTTTGCCCAAATTAGGGGAGGCCTGACATAGCCCTGTCTCCTCAGTATACCCCAGGCCAGGCCAGCCTCAGCTGAAGCAACTCTGAGGTCATTGCAGCGACCACATTCAGACAAGCCCACTGTCTGTGCTGAAATGCCCTTCCAGACATAGTATGAGGACACACACACTCCCAACGGACACTGAGTTTTCAGTCATGCCTGTGGCCCCTGCCCCACCAGGAATCCCTAAAATAGCAACCCCCAGAAAGCCCCACAGGAGTGCGCACTCGCTGCCTGTCCACCCTGCCGCTGCCCCTGTGTCCCGCGCTGCCCAGCCTCCATGCGCCACAGGGTGTCTCTGCTTATTTTGGGAATATTTATACGGCGGGATTGGATCACGTTTTTCTACTAATAAGAATGCTAACATTGTTGTGTAGATAATCAGCGAGGCCTTTATGAAGTTTACACCTTTGCATTATTAAAGAAAATAACAGTTCATGTGCACTCTCCAGTGTGTCTGATTTTATTTGATAGTTATCTGTCCTACAAAATGTCAAAAGTCCTTTCCCTCCACCTCACATTTACCTGGATAACTTTGATTACCCAAGAGGGCCATTGAAATTGTACCCCAGATCTGAAGCCTGCTGAGTGGTGCTCTGGCAAAGGCAATGCTTTCCTTTCCTAATGAGGAACAAAGCGTTTTTCTCAGCTGTCCTAGCAGCTGTTGTGGGTCACTGCCTCTTTGGACTTTCCTAGTCCCCAGCAGACAGGGGAAGGGGAAAATGCCTTTGTAGAACCAGGAAGTGGTCACTTTGGGGCCAGGGGCACACTCTAGGCCACCAAATATACAACAAATCTGTAGCAAGACCTCCCAGTTAAGAGGTCTCTTTAAAACTCCGTAACAGAGGCTGCACAGTGACCTTGTGATCAAGAGAATCTGAGAGAAAGTTCTCATTCACCAGCCCTGCTCTGTTTATAATCACACTTAGGTGGACATTTCCCAAAAGCCCCCAACACCAGCTTTCTAGTTAGCAGATTTCTGGCCAGAACAAGCAGACGTTTCAGAGGTTTGTGTATGAACCAGCACCCAGCTCCTCCGTCCTGGGAGTCATAGGCCTGAGGGGGCACTTCTGCTGTGCTGAGCTCCCGTGGCACAGTGACTCAGGAGCACCAGGCATCTGTCAATGTGAGACCTGGATTCTCCTTTGAGGCACTTGAAAAAGTAAGCATGTGCAAGTCTCAGTCTTGGGTCAAGGCAGTTCCCAATTCAGTGACAACTTGTCCGACATCAAAAACAACAGGAGATGGACAGCCCTGGCTTCAGACCATCCCTGCTCTGGTCAGCTCTGACCCCAGAGGTCAGGGCGGCACTGCTGTTAAGAAGTACTGTTTGCATGCAGGTGTGCGGGCGAGTCTGTCAAAGGAGGTCAGGAGGAAGAGCATGCAAAGATAGACCCCAGAAGGCTTTGTCTTTTTCCTTTTATAAAGCGTCACATACAGTGCAGGAGATGACCTTTGTCCTTCTAATGTATCTGCACTAAACAAATCTGTAACAACCACCAAGAGATGATGAATGTGGTTTTGACTTGAATACCTTACCATCTGTATCCTGGTGTTCCCCCTATTTACACTTCCTTTTACGAAGGCTACACACATTCTTTTTTGAGGAACACTTAACTTCCTCTAGAAGTCTTGGCTCTGAGTGGTGAACTGGATGGTTCCTTTTCCTTTGGGGATAGTCTTTGTCTTCTCTTCGTCCATTCAGTCCATCAGTAGGTCAAGGCTACCAGGTGGTACTCCACAGCTCATCCTTGGGTGGTGAGTCATAGGAACAGCTGCTACTCATTGTAATGCAGGGACAGAGAGCTGGAAACAGTGGTCCTTCAACTCTAGGGTGCATTAGGGTCACCTGGGTGCTCCATCAAATCCTGATGCATGAGCCTCTCTCCAGATATCCTGATCTATGGAATTGGGAAGTCCCAGAACCTAAATTTTTAACAAAGCACTCTAGGAATTCTCCTGTAGGTAGAAAAACATTACACTGAGGTTTATTTTTCCTATAAAAATAAAATCGAATGAGAATCAATGAATAAAGATGGGACCTTTTGAAGATTTTAGTTCTCCAGGAGGAAGTCCTTCTCGGTCTACACTCTGGAGGAGACTGGCACAGGGGACCGTGTAGCATGTACTGGGCACCGTAGGACATCGCTGTGCAATGACAGGCTCATATGGTTGAAGAAGACTCGAAGACATTCGCTATTCTGGGCCCCACCTGGTGCAGGAACCTCATCCAGAGCACTGCAGTCTGCCCACCAAGGGGTGTGCAGCCTCTGCTTGAGCACCTCCAGCACCAGGGAGCTCGCCTGCCTGGGCAGATCATGCCATGTTTGAATGCCTCTGTTTGCTTGTTCTTTCTCATGTGGAGCTGAAATCCGCTCCTCACCCCACAGTTTTCATCCACTGATGAAACCAAATAAGACCACTCTTCCTTCTCACAACACATATATAAATATCTGGTGATAGCATTTCCCCTCCTGGCTAAACACCCTTTCATTTATAAATGTTCTTTTGAACATCTCCTATATGTCTGGTGTTCCTAAATGCTGAGGAGACAACAGACAGACAGGGTACCTACTAGGACATTCTAGAGGGCACATGTAAATGAACAGAAAATAGTAAATAGAGGTAAGAAGAGAATAAAACAGGTAATGTGACAGATTTAGAGTAGAAGTGCCTGAGTAGATAAGAGATGGGAGTGGGTGACTTTTAAGCTGAGGTTTATAGGACAAAGAGCTACCCAGGGGATGACAGAGACAGAGCGTTTCAGGTTAGGGATCAGAAGGGCCTGAGGCAGGAACAGCCCAGTATGTTCAGCAGGTAAAGCAAAGACTCAGCCATTTGGACCACAGAGAAGGTGTGGGTAAGTGCCAAGAATTACAGTGGTGGGAAGAGGGGGAGAGTCCACAGTATGTGTAGGGCCTTTAGGCCAGAAGAACAGATTTTATATCAAATGAAACAGGAGATTGCTGCCCTGCTTTTTGCTTCTTGCCACAGTCAGAGTCACCTTCCTGGCCCCCCTGGCCCTCCCCTGAATGTGCAGCTGGTTTGGGCTGTCTGAAGCAGAGCAGCCCTCCCGCGGCATCTGCTGAGTCCAGAACACAAGCTAGACGCCTCTGTTGATTTGTTTTCACCCAGAGGGCAGCTTTCTGGTAGATTTTTTCCTCTTAGGGATACAATTAGTCCCCTAATCCATACATACATTTAAACCTCAGAATGTAGAGTGAGTGCCATTGAGTCCAAAAATACATACCCCCCCCCCAAACACACACACACACAAGAGTACTGTGATTTCTCCTTCGAAGCAGGCACTCAGTACCTATGGGGCACTGGTATTGGGAGACTGCAGTGGTTTGCAGCCCTGTGTCAGGGGTGGAGAGAAAGCCCAAAGCTGATTAACTTCTTCCCTATTCAGGGATTCTGCACATCAGGAAGGCTTGCATTTCTTTGCTTTTGGGGCGGAAAGTGTGAGAAATGGGGAAATAGAATGGATGGCTTTGTTCTGGTTTAGTACCTGCTAGGGATAAAACCCACTCTAGCTGACAGTAGGGACCAGGGGCCAGTTTTCTGCTCTCAAAGCCCAGAGACAGAGTAGCTGAAGCTGGGTCCTCAGAGCACAGAGCCCTTTGCAGCCTTGGGGCCTTTCCAGGGGACAGGCTGGGACCTCCAGTGCAGGTTTGGAAGGGCCCAGGGACAGACCTGAAGAGGAGAGGCCAGGAAGCAAGACCAAGGTCCCATAGGGTCCAAACATATTTGAGAGCCTGGGGGTCTCCAGTTGAGTCCCATCTGTGCTCTAGGTGGAGTGAGTGCTCATGTCTGTCATGCTACGCTTGTCGCCCATACCAGGAAGTGAAACTTGAAACAAGGAGCAGTGGGGAGACAGGGCCCAGGGACACACGCTGCATGATAGAAAGAAGAATGTGTGGCCCGTCTGTGACATCTGTTACCTCGGGTTACATGTTCTGTTATCTGGTGTGCATGTGCTGGAAGGCCACGGGGCCTGGCCTGGTTCTTAGCAAAGGCATAGTGAGACCCAGGTATGGCCGCAGGGCCTGCCTCCCATCAACAGACCTGAGTGATTCCCAGTCCTGAGGACACCAAAAGCTTCAGACAAGGTCTGGTGGTGGGGTGGAGATGTCCGTTCTGGAATTTTCTTCTTCCAGAAGAAAAGCAAAGCAAAAGTGCCCCCATTCCAGTGTGGGATCGCTATTTCCACATGGGTTTAGGGATGGAGCTCTGCATGGGTTCTTCTGCCTGCAGCACAAGCATTTGTCTCCCACACACTGGTGGGAGTCCCCTGTAGGTCAGAGGGTCCACCTGGAGCAAATGGCATCAGTCACTGGAGGCAGCTGAAGGGAGCTGAGCCTGGGGTCCTCCTGTGATACCATCAGTAGCCAGGGCCCTGGGGGATTTTAAGTGGACAGCAAGGGGCTAAGACACAGAGGCTTAGTCATTCACAGTGTAGCCAGTCAGGCCGGGGGTGCTGGGAGCCGCTCGGATGGGAGAATGTGTGTCCCTCTTTGGTGCGTATTTGTCCTGAGTCCCTGAAGGTGAGTATCACAGGATGAGTCTGCTGGTTTTCCCAAAGTCTGATCCAAACATGCCTGAGCTCCCAGATGGTGAGTATTCCTAGACCTTTCACCTAACCCACAAAAACTGGGGAGGCCTCCATATCTCCAAAGTAAATGGCTTCTGGATGCAGTGCAAATGGATAAACCATGAAGCCATATTTACCCCACGTCAGGTCCTCTGGAGCTGTTGCTAAAGAGGGGAGTGGACGTGGGGTAGCACATTGGGACTCCTGTTGTGCCTGACATCATCACACGCCCAAAGGAAGCCTGGGGAACCCTCTGCCACCTCATTTGGGACCGTGTCTCTGACTGCTACGCAGGAGCCACAGCCAGGCCTGAAAGCAGTGAGCACTGCATACCCGCCTGCTCCCAGGGCTCACGGGGATACAGCTAAGGGTAGTCCTCGGGGAGGCTCACAAGTTCAGAGCAGAGACGGAGACCCATCTCCCAGTCCCCACTCTCCTCCTGACAAGGTTGCCATACCTTCCTCTTGAAGACATAAAGAGACTCTTTTGTCTCAACACATATAATACCAGAGAAGGTATCACTCTGAACACAAATGCCATAGCTTTGTCCTGTGGGCCCTACCCAACCCTCACAGGCTATTGCTCTGCAGGGTCCAGTGGTCAGCATGTCAGCTCAGCGTGCTAACCACCAGCCATCCCTCTTTCTCCCTCCCACTCAAGCCAATGGCAGTCCCACCGCAGGTCTGAGCACCGGGGCCATCGTGGGCATCCTCATTGTCATCTTTGTCCTGCTCCTGGTGGTTGTCGACATCACCTGCTACTTTCTGAACAAGTGTGGCCTGCTCATGTGTATCGCCGTCAACCTGTGTGGAAAGGCCGGGCCTGGAGCCAAGGGCAAGGACATGGAGGAGGGCAAAGCCGCCTTCTCGTGAGTGCAGACCTGCCCCAGCCAGGGCCCCTTAGCTGAGCTACCTCAGTAGTTCCTCCACTTGGGAACCCCAAGGGAAAACAAGCATTAGAGAAATGTTTCTCAAAGGTCTTTGAGGGGATCCCTGTTTTAAAAGCAGACTCTTGGGCTCAACTCCAACTACTATATTAGAATTTCATGGAAGTTTGAAAATCCCTACCTAAGTCAAAATGAGGGCATTTTTGGAGCTAAGGCTGGGGAGGTGCGGGGTTGAGTGGAGGGGCCAGCATTTGAGAAGCACACTTGCTTGCTCTCATTCATTCAACCATTCATAAGTCACTCAATAAATATTTGTTGAGAAACTACTAGGGGCAAGGCGCTATTCCCAGACACTAGGATACAGCGATGAACAAAACAGATAAACATTTCTGTCCTCCTGAGCTGGCAATCCAGATGCTGTCCCCTCCAGGATCTCTGGAGAAATGGATCCTGAGCCAGGTAGCAAGAGCCTTTGTAGACCGTCACTGGGCTGAGCTGGCTCAAGGTGAGAAGGGGCAGAACGGGGGAAGAAGTGTTTAGCACTACCATGTGCCAGGCAGAATATGTGCATATACACACACATACTGGTACATATACGTGCATATGCTTGCATGTGTATAAATACAAACTATTTTAGCATTTATCTGTGCCAGGCACTGTGCTAAACACTTTACATACATTATTTCAGTTAATGTTCCTAATTGTTAAGTGAGGTACATCCTGTTATTTGGCCCATTTTACAGATGAGAAAATGAAGACAAGGGAAAGCAAATCAGACACTCAAGGTCACACAGCAAGCAAGAGTGGGGACTTGGGGCGAGGCACTTGAGCCTGGCTCTGAAGGCCACCTGCCCACTGTGGGCCAGGCCTAGGTGCCTGAACTATAGATTGCTTCCCTGGGAGCCCTCCCCTCCCCCAGCTCCCCGGGATTGAACCAGCCGAACTCTCTCTGCAGGAAAGATGAGTCAAAGGAGCCCATCGTGGAAGTGCGAACGGAGGAGGAGCGGACCCCAAACCACGACGGAGGGAAGCACACAGAACCCAATGAGACCACGCCACTCACAGAGCCCGAGTATGTGGTGGGAAGGGGCTCATGCCTCTGTGGCTACCTCTCACCTGCCCACACCTCCCATGCTTCTCGCCCACAGCTCCCAGCCTAGCACTGCAGGCCAGAGTTCTGGGACCTTGGCTGAGAAATGCCAGGCTCCAGTCTTTCCCTAGACAGAAGGAATTCTTGGTTGTATTAGGGAAGTTGTGGGTGTTTCTTGCATAAATGGGATCCCTAAGCCCTGTTACCACACATATCTGGAGATGGCTTAAGGGGGCGAAACTTCACTGAGAGAGACTGAGCTTTGAGAAGTTTAGCAAATTCTGTTTAGGACTTCCAAGAATCCAGAAATGTCATCTGCATTCTTCCCAGAAGAGTAAGGGAACCTGGGGACCTGGTAAAGCTCTCTGGCCCTCCTATGCTCAGAAGCCTCAGGGACCCTCAGTCAGAAATGACATCTGGCTGTGGTTGTACTGACTGCCTGGCTATCATGGGTACTACGGGTTTGAAGCCAATGGAGTTTAATAGAAGCACAAAATCTATGGCTGGAGAACCCATGGTTCTTAGGGGCCATATGGAATACTCGTCTTCTGCCTTACTCCCGACTTTCCCAGCCTTACTCCCGACTTTCCCCATGGAGCACAGCGGGACAGCCCAGCCGATTCCTTGGGGACTTAGGTCTCCTGCAGTGGTGCACACTGAACTGAAGGCTGCCTCTCCTCAAGTCGAGATGCAGGCAGGAATCAGAACAGCCCTGGCAGGGAGTCCTGTGCAGAGAAGTGGAGGGAGTCATCAGGGAGAAAGGGCCAGCAGGTCCCCTTTAGACGACTGCCGAGTTCTCTGTCGTTTCCTGTGTCCTCTTCTGCCCGCCTGGGCGTGTGCTTCCTCTCACGTCCTCGTTTTTTTGTGGGCCTGTGTCCATGCCTGTGCGTCACTGCATGCCTTGCCCACGGCCCCTCCTTGGCTTCAGCCCTTCCCCCACTGCTTCTCTGTCTTGTCTCAGCTTCATTGTCTATTCTCTTCTACTTCCTGTCCTCCCCACAGGCTGCCTGCTGACACCACAGCCACTGTCGAGGACATGCTGCCTTCTGTCACCACCGTCACCGCTAACTCTGACACTATCACCGAAACCTTTGCCACTGCTCAGAACAGCCCCACCAGTGAGACCACAACCCTGACTTCCAGCATTGCCCCTCCAATCACAGCCACACCTGACTCAAATTCTGTGCCTGCCAGCCAGGCCACCCCTTCCAAGGGGCCCGGTGTCGCCACCTCCTCCCCATCCCCAGCTTCAGCTCCCAAGGTGGCCCCCCTTGTTGACCTGAGTGATACCCCAACCTCAGCTCCTGCGGCCAGCAATTTGTCATCTAGTGTCCTGGCTAACCAGGGGGCTGTGCTCAGCCCGAGTGCCCCTGCCAGTGCTGGGGAGGCCTCCAAGGCCCCTCCAGTGAGTAAGCCAGCCCCTGCTCCAGCCCCCACCTCAGCTGGAGCAGCCAGTCCCCTAGCAGCAGCAGCTGCCCCTGCCACAGAAGGCCCCCAGGTCAAGCAGGAGACTCCCAGCACCAAAGGCCCGGACCCCGAGCCCACCCAGCCTGGCGCTGTGAAGAGCCCGATTGAGGCAGCCACGGTCCCCACTAGCCCGAAGAGTGAGGCTGCCTCCGTCAGCGCCACAAACGCTGCCCAGGGCGAGGACTTTAAAATGGACGAAGGGAACTTCAAGACCCCAGATATTGACCTTGCAAAGGATGTTTTTGCAGCCCTGGGCTCTCCTGCTCCCGCCGCTGGGGCCAGTGGACAAGCCCCTGAGCTTGCTCCTTCCACTGCAGACATCTCTGTTCCGCCTGCACCAGCAAAGACCGAGTACGGCCTCTCTTTGTCTGCTCTCGTCGGGTTGTGTCCGTGGTGGTGTGCATTTGTGCTGTGCTGTGTCCTCCTTGTTAGATGTGTCCACCGCCTAACCCAGGGCTTCTCTAAGGCGACTGTCAACCAAAGGGCTGGGATAAGGCAGAGAAAACAGACATGCACAGCAGGCCCCTGCAAGCAGCCTCCTGCTCACTAATTAGGCCATGCTAATTATGTTTCATCCTCATCGTCCTAGCAGTGGCGTCTGTTTTCCCTCGGGAACCCTTGCAGTCAGGGCACTGATGAGCATAATTTGGGAAGTGAGCTAAGGAGACCAAGGTGCCCTTATTGGCCACCCTGCAGCCCACAGGCAGTCAGTGTGTTATTCAGGGCCAGGCTGTGCCCTCACAAGAACAGCCCTGTTCTGCAGGAAGCAGAGAGGCTGCTCTGCATGGGGAGAAAATGCAGTCCAGAGGCACCCTGCACACTCCTACCCAGATGCCCGCACACACACACACACACACACACACACACACACACACACCTTGCTTCTCCTGCCCTTGAGTGGCTGGGAGGTCTCAGAACTCCCAAGTATCAAATGACTGGTCCTCAAGTTCAAGGGAAGGTCCTTAAGCTTACAGTTTTTTTTTAATGTGATGCCAAAATGCAGTGGCACTATTTGTGGCTTGGGTCTGAGCCTGCCCTATGTATCCTTAGATCAGACTCTGGCTCCTGGAACTGAGGCAGAGTCAGAGAGAGGTTTATATAGATGCTCCTGAAGCTAATGCCAGGTGAGCTATGGTACTGTGAGCAAGAGCTACAAGGGGCCCCTCACCAGGTGCTTTGATCTCAGGAAGGAAAAGGACTCTGATAGCCTTGCCCACTTGACCCATGACCCCTACTCACTTCCCCTGTAGCTTGAAGCCTACTCTGGCCTCTCTCCAGACTCCCAGGAACAAAGAGCATTTTCTCACCCTGCTCAGGCAAGCCACAAAGGTATCACCACGAAATACCTACCACAGGGTAGGGTGGGTGGAGCAGGTTGGGGTGCAGACATGCAAGAGCCGGTGGTTTGCTGAAGGGCCCCCTGGAAACAGTGCTAGGGAGCCCAGCCCAGCCCACCTCCTGTATACCAGGCTGAGCTACTGGTAGTGCAGCCCATCAGGGGAAGGAAAGTCTGCTTCTGCTACCCCCTTCCACCACCCCAGATAAAGATCTAGGCTCTGGCATCACATTTGGGCTAGAACGGGAAAGGTCTCATCCCTCCAATTTAGTGTCTCTCAACTTTGCCTGCATGTTAGAATCACTTGGGCACTTTTAAAGTCACCCATCCAGACCAGTTCTGGGGTATGGGCCAACATCAGTGGTTCTTAGAGCTCCTAGGTAATTGTGACAAGCAGCCAAGGCTGGAGGCCACTGCTCTAACTGGAGCCCCTCCAGAGGAGCTGGTCAAAGGGCAAGTTCCCCCAGACGTGGTCTCAGCACTCTTTTCCCAATTCTCTGCAGGAAGCGCCCTGTAGAAGCAAAGTCGGAGTGCCAGGAGACAGAAACGAAGCCAGCGCCAGCCGAAGTCAAGACCGTCCCCAACGACGCCACACAGACAAAGGAGAGCGAGAGCAAAGCATGATGGGTGACGAGGGACGAGCAAAGATCAAAATAAAAAGTGACACAACAGCTTCACCAGAGCATTTCCAATATCACACACGCGTGCGTGCGCGCGCGCGCGCGCGCGCGCACACACACACACACACACACACACACACATCTCATTCCTCTAGTGTCTTTTGCCTTTAAAAAGGAAAACTAAGCAGATAAACATAGGATCTCCTTTTTGTAGGTTTATAGAAAGGGTTCCTTTGTTGCACACTCACTTGTAAGAAAATGAGACAAAGAGATTAAACCCACAGCCAAACTAGGACACTCCGTTCCCTGAAACCATTTAAAAATCAAACAAAAGGACCCCAAATTAAGAATCTAGGAAGCTCAGAAAAAAATCTAGGTTTAGGAAGACTACACTTGGTGTTGCCCAGTTGGCACAGACCAGTTTCAGAGAAACACTTCCAGGCACTAAGACTAACCGAATGAACAAAGTCCAAGTTTATTTTTATACTTTCAGTCGAGTTTGAACTCTGCAAAACCTCACAAATAAGTTATAATTTCTGTTCACTTTGTATTTGTTCGGTATGCAAAGTGTGTCACCCTTTCTAGCTGAATTCAGTTCCCACGTAGACTCCTGTTTTGTAGGCCAAATGCCAAATCGCAGCTTCTGGGGGTAGATCTCAATTTGCAGTATTCAGATTTCTTTTTTCTTTCCTTTTCTTTTTGTTCTTTTTTTTCCTTTCTGCCAACTTTGCTTTCCAGTGTTTACAAGTTGACAAATGTTTAACTTCAATTGTGTTTAAATGTCCATGTAAAATAGCTGCCTTTTTTTTTTTTTAAAGTTACAAGCACCGCCCAGAGGTGGGCAGGACCGGCACAGGCTTGCTCTGGCACAGGACGGCTTCACACAGTATAATTGTTTACAGTGGCGCGCCCCCTCTTCTGATTTGAAATTTTTGCCTGAGTCCAACTCAGGTGAAAATCCATCTCGTTCTGGAATGGTTTTGCTTTTTGGTTCTTGGGGTTTTTTGGTGTTTCCTTAGGGGTTAGGCCACTTTCTGATTAGCCACCACCTGCCTGTACCTGTGACAAAGGATCTGCTCCCGGGCTTCCTGTCCTTCCTGTTGAAGGATTCCTTAGGCTTTGTTGAATGAAGCAGAGAAGATTGTATAGTTGGGGCTGGTCTTGGTGAACACACGTTTTTACCCCAAACATCCCCTTCTTATAGAAAGCCAAATAAAATATATACATACAACTTCTTTTTGAGCCCAGAATCTAGATTTGAGCGGAAGAGCATGTGTGCTTCAGGGAATTAGTGTCTTTTTTTGGAAATCTGTTGAAGTAAAGTAACATCGGCCTTCTGTTCACTTAGGCAACGTCTGTAGAAACAAAAGAGAAAAAAAGCCAACCTGTTGTCTGGAGTCATAACACGACTTTCCTGGATTGGAAACAAAGTGGGGGAAAAATACAGAAACTTTAAGGGGGATGGGAGGGGGGAGAAGGGAAAAGCCAGCCCTTTGTATAGAAATTTTGCTTTTTTTTTCTCATTCTACTTTAGAACTGCAAGCTTGTGCACTGTGGATGCGTGAATATATTAGTGTGAAACGTGTTTTTGTCATAGTATTGAAATAAAACTTCAACATAGTTTGGTTGTGGAAGGTATAGCAGATAGTTCAGAAAAAATATTCAGGAAACAAAAATTACTCAAAAGGAATTGAAGCCTTGAAACAATGAAAATGAATAAAAATGATTATGATGATGAAGATGATGCTAAGTAAACAGAAATCAGGGCTCAGCATGTGCTCCTTTCTGAAGGTACAAACAGCAAGAGGTGAGGGTGGCAATACTGCCCCTGAGTCCAACCTGCGGGCCACACTCCCCAAGTTCTGACACTTCTGCAATCTGATCAGTGGCAATATGCTAGATTATAATTCCAAACTGTGAAAAATAATGGTCTTGTCATTTGCTAAATGTGGGGTTATTTTGCATTTTCTCATCTCCTGGGGATGGAAATGGAGGATCCCAGTCCACACTGCTCTAGCCCCTGTGACCCTAGGGCTTGCACAAAGTCTACAGTTCGGATGCAGAGACCCTCAGGAACAAGAACCTGAAGACAGTCCATAGAGCACACAGCAGAACGGGAGCTCCAGGGTGTCCGACGGGAGGATCCAGCAGGGAGTGGTGGGCTCTTCCTCTCACCAGGTTGTCAGTGGTATCAGTCCTTCATCTTGTGATGTTAATGGCTTTGAGTACCTAGGCCAAGCCCACACTATACCTCATGGAGACTGTGCATTTCCTTTAGAGCGGTTGTGGTTAGGCAAACAAACTGATTTTTGTTCTAATACTTAGGAAGAGAAAGAGGTATAGTCAACCTCAGATAACCTGGCCCAGGACAGTAGACTGCCCCCCTCCACCCAGAAGCCTGACTCCACCATTACTGGAACCCAAGACTTCCCACCTTTTGGTCAGCCTCTCTCCCATCATATATAGATTTGTCTCTGCATGCGTGAGCTTTCCTTTCCTTAAACAAATAAAATAAGACAGAGCAATGCTTTCTCTAAAATCAAAGAGGGAGTCACTTTATTTTCAAGATATTCTTTTATGTTAAGAGATAAAAGCTTATAGTTTTTCTCTTTTAATTTTTTTGAAGGGGGGATCAATTCTACCAGTTTCCAATGTCTATGTGTCTATATGTGTATGCGCCATACATATGTATTCACATAACACCGGCATGGCCAAGTTCTGCTGGAGGGGCACTCAAGTGCCACACATGGGTCTCCTCACACTGACGGGCGTAGTGTACATAGTGCAGCTTTTGAAGTGGGACTCTATTTTCACACTTTTTTATGGAGCCTTCCAAGTCCCAGGTTTTCACTCTAGGCTGTCTGTCTGGATGGTGGTTTCAGACCTCCATTAACATCCCTACCCAGCATTCCCAACTTTGGGGGCCTTCTCTCTTGTTATAAACTTTTTACCAAGTGAAACATCGAGACCACCTTTGTTTCCATTCTCACTGGTGTAAATACTGAGTACTAACTGAGAATTTTGACTTTGCATTCTGTCAGAATACTTGTGTTCAATAAAAATTGAAAGAAAAAATAGCTGTTATGGTCAAACTGGAATTTATTTCGATTCATTGAAAGTCTGTCACCTGAATCAAATGTGGAAATGCCTGCATTTTTTTCTTGACCTGTGAACAAGGTTGGTTAAACCCAGTGCCTTGGGTTAATATTGCCTGAATGATGTTTTCTAATTTTTCTCTCAGGTTGATAGAGGACCAGATATCAGATTTAAAAAGATTTAATGGAAATCCTGAATCTGCCACTTCCTGGGAAGAATTACGTAATCTCCCCGATACTCAGTTTCCTCTTTTGACAAACTGGAACTATCAAGCTAATTGAGTTGAGGTACTGGTTACTGATTGAAGCAATGTATCTGAAAGCCAGTGTAGAACTTTCCTGGCACATAGTAGGTCCTGAACAAATGAGAGTTAATGATATTGGCATCCCAGGTGTGTAACAGCGTCCTACCCAATTATAATCACAATCTGCACCTGAGCTCCAAGGTCCAACACGGAGGCAGACGCATGAGGCTTATTCTGGACTATGTGATGCCTCTCCCTATCACACACCCCACAGTGAGGGTGTGAACAGATGGCCTTAGAGCCTTAACTGAGCCACCCTGGAGTCAAAGACTAAGCTAGTCAGAGTGAAAAAAAACTTGGCCTCAGCTCAAAATTCTCTAATGTATGCTTCTGTCCAGCTGTCTTTAGGAAGAAGCAATGGATAGAGTTGGAACTATCTATTAAACTATGAATTGAGAGTTCTTGGAAGAGACCTGGCCACAAGGACGAGGGCAAGGTGTGTGAGACTCCTAGGGACCAAAATGTAAGGAGGGCTCCTCTCAGGGCCCACCCTGTACCTGCACAAATCTGAGTGACAACTTTTGTGTCCCATGTGCCTCACCCTACTCGTGGCCTGGGCAGGAGAGCCTTCTACTGTGGTGGTGTCTGCATTCATTCCAGGACTGGTCCTTTCACTGGCCCCAGGGCCCTTTCTAATCAGTGCACAGAGCCATATTCATGTATGTGATTTCCTGTGCCACATAATTCCAGCTGCATGGTGGGTCTGGAGGAGGTGACAAAAACACATTGGTTATCAAGATTTGGAGAAATCATTCAATGATAACTTTCTTCATTAATCCATGAAGACTTGCTTCCAGGGTCTTCCACTTTCAGGCTAGTTTCCTCTCAGATTCCCTCAGTAAGTATTTGTTGAGAATCTTGAAGGTGCCCAGGATATCGCAGCAAACAAAACAACTCTCTCTCATGGAACATTCATTCAAGTGTGGGGGCGGGGGGGCAGACAACAAGTACCTCAGTGCTATGTTGTGATGGTCACGGTCACTAAGCCTTTTCACCAATACCCCAGTTTTACTTTTTCTCCTTCCAGGCACATGATAGGATCATACTTCTTGCACCATTTAAAGTAGGTGTGCATGGCCATGTGACCTGCTTTGGTCAATGGAATGTGAGCAGTGCAGAGCAAGTCACTTCCAGGAGAGCCTTTGACAGCCAGTGTGTCTTACTATGACCTTCTTCCCCAACACAGCAATCAGCAGTGCTGCAGTGGGTGGGAGTGCCATCAGCGGTGCCCACACTGAGGGGTGTGAGCAGAGGACTCATGAGGGACGTGGAGGTTGCATGTGGGATACACCCAGTGGTGCTTTGATAAATGTTTGACAGCCAGCTCTCCAAAGGGGATGTATACATATATGGGGGGTGTGTACGTGTGTGTATGTATTTATCATAAACTTCACTGATATAAAGAATATAATTTACAAATAATAAACTATATAGTACTCTCCCCTGGCTGGTGTGGCTCAGTGGTTGAGTGCCAGCCTGAGAATCAAAGGGTCACTGGTTGGATTCCCAGTCAGGGCACATGCCTGGGTTGTGGACCAGGCCCCCAGTGGGGGGGGGGGTGCATGAGAGGCAACCATACATTGATGTTTCTCTCCCTCTCTGTCTCCCTCCCTTCCCCTCTCTAAAAAATAAATAAATAAAATCTTTAAAGTATATATATAGTACTCTGTTTTGAAATTCCATATATTTAATTGAAACTCACAGAATGTTCTGGTTCATTTTTGCTAAAGTCTTGCATCTGTAATTGACATATGGTGACAGTTGATAAATCAGTGCAGCTCCAACATAGATGGTGGCTAACATGTTCATTTGTGTTAACTAGTAAGATGAAAGTGGAACAGTGAAGATGTATGCGTCAGAATGTCACTCACTCATCAATGGCGTGAGCCACATCTGCTGAGTCATACACGTTTTTGAATTCTAGAACACTGCCTCAATTTTTGTGCTATTCATAGTGCAATGGCTACAGTCATGGCACACTTTTAAATTAAGGCTGCATCATAAATATTTTCTCTATTACTTTCTTAAGTCTAGATAAACACACACCAAAAAAGTCAAACCCTGAGTTGCAGCGTTTACTGGTTTCAGTGGTAAGTAAACATTCTCATCATGGCTGACTTCTCCATGCCGCCAGTGGGGAAGTTGGGTGGAAGAACACAGTAGCACGTCATTGTACAGTATTCCCACCATCCAGATGAAAGAGACATAAATAGCTTCAAGCACAGAGGTAATAAAAATGTGTAGTAATAACAAACATTCATAAATAGTAAAATGTAGTAAAATAATAAGTGATATATTTTGAGTACTTACTGCCTTCATTTTTAATATAATTTCAAATTTATCAATGATAAATTTATGTAATTTAACTTTTAATAATGACTAACAAGTGGCTCAAAAATTTCCTAGCAATTTAACAATTGGCTCTCTAGAGCCAGTAAAGCTGACTCCAGCACACCATTAGATAAGCCTTTATGGTATAAGCCCCTTCACCTTAGAGTCTGTTACCAAAGAATTATTGAACTTATCATGGCTAAATCAGGGAGAGATAAGTGCTCCGAATAGCAATAAATCCAGGTGAATGTGAGGTCAGAGTATTCCTCTCTGAAAGGGTGACGTTTAAGCAGTGACCTCAGAGAAGTGAGGGCCTGAACCATGTAAATATCTGAATGAAGATGTCTCAGGCAGGAAAACAGCAGGTGCTGAAGTGGGGCCTTGCTTGGTGTGTTTAAGGATGAGCAAGCAGGCCTGTTTGGCTGGGGCAGAAAGCAAGGAATGGGGTAGGACAGAGGCATAAGAGGCAGGAGATGTGTCAGAGGTATCCAAGAGCTAGATCCCTTGGGGTCTGTAGACTGTCATTAGAATTTCAGCCTTTTCTTCACGTAAGATGGAAAGCCAAGGGAAAATTTCAAGCAGAAGCCTGACATGACTTGATTTTTAAAATAATCACTCTAACCTTCTTTCTCTTCACTGAGGCCACAGAGAAGCCTCCCCAGCAGACACAGAGATGCAGATTTTTGTGAGACCCTGACTGGCTATACCATCAGCCTTCAAGTTGATCCCAGTGGCACCCCTGAGAATGTCAAAGCTAAAGTCCAAGACAAGGAGGTCATTCAGCCTGCCCCACAGCATCTGATTTTTGCAGGCAAACAGCTGGAGGATGGCTGCACTCTCTGACTATAATGTCCAGAAAGGGTCCACCCTGCACTGGGTGCTTCACTTGTGGGGTTATATCATTGAGCCCTCCCCCCTCCAGCTCAGCCGGAAGTACAACTACGACAAGATAATCTGCCCCAAGTGTTCCGTCTGCCCTCCGGTGCTGTTGAAGGTTGCAAGAAGTGCCGCCACACCAACAACCTGTGCCCCAGGAGGGTTAAAGAGGGCACCTCCACTGCAGTCTCCTTCCTGAACTGGGTGGCCCTGGGGTCTCAGTACAGTTTCCCTTTTTTTGATGGGAGAAGTTAAAAAATCACTCTGGCTGCTAATTGGAGAACAGACCACAGGAGGGCAAGAGAGGAAGTTAGAGGACCAGTTAGACAGCAGTAGAACAGAGAAGATGGTAGACTTGCAGCAAGCTGGTTCCAGAGGAGGAAGGGCAATGGCCAGATTCTGGCTCTCTAATGAAGGTAAAGCCAGCAAAACTGGCAGTGGGTTGGATGTGGTTTGAGAGAGGCATCAAGGATGACGTCCAGATTTGGGACCTGCGCAATTGAAAGGGTGAAGCTTCCATTTACTTTCTAAAAGGAGTGGAGGGGAAGCAGATTTGGTGGTTGCAGAGTTTGACTCTGGACAATTTAAGTCTGACATACCTGTAAACACCCTGCTGGAGATTTGAACAGGCTGAAAGCTCAAGGACTCCAGTCTGGAGACATGTAGGCACTGTCGGCATAGAGCTTGTGTTTAAGCCCCTGGCATTTGATGATATCAGCAAAGAAATGAATAGGATGAAGAAGAGGAGAGAAGAAGCAAGGGTCCCAGAAAAAAAAATTGTAGGCAGCTCTATGTCAAGGGAAAAGCTGAATGACCCTTTCTCTGGCACTTACAAAAGTGGCATTTAGACAGGGGAGGGACAGGCCTGCACCAACGAGGCGAAAGACCATCTGATTCCGTTGGATTCCAGGCTGTCACTCACAGTCACAAGCAGAACCCTGGCCACTCCTCTCACTTGTGAAGTCCTTGGCTTTTGGTTCATGGTCTTCCTTTCCCCCAAGTTCCACCATCACCCTGGGTGACTTCAGTGCTTTATGTAGAAACCCCTTCAAAACACAGGTCCCTCAGCTTGTCGTCCTTTTCTCCAGTGACCTCCCCCTTCTCTCCAGTTAAGCCACCTTATGCCTTGACCAACCCTCAGATCTTTTCATCACCCCAGCCGCTCCATCTGAACCAGATTTTCAGATTCCCCACTCTCCAACTCTCTCTTTGACCTACCCAGTCCTCTCTCTCAGCTACTCCCAATATATCCATTCTCTGTCCTTACAGAGGCCTCTGTGTATTGGCTCCCTGATTTTCCTGTTCACCGTATCGTCCCTTCACTTCCCTACATATCCAGCTTTGATGCTCTGGTCCAGCATGTTAATGACTCACTCATCAACATTAAAAGCTCCCTGGTCTTGATGTCCTCACATTGTATCTGATCTTGTAAAACACTAGCCCTGGAAAATCATGTTTGCCATCACTTTG